AAAAGAAACGTTAATTAGTTCCATTGAAGTCCTCTTTGTCTTTTCGAAACAAATGCGATTTTTCACTAGATTCACTAGATGCAGTTTTCAGTGTCAAATGCATTTCTCTAGATGCGAAATGAATTAGAATCTTTGAAAAAAAAATGAATACAATACATTAAAGAAATAGTATATAATATATGTATATTATATATTAACATTATATAATGTACATTATATAATATACATTATATGTAACCAATGTATATCTAAAATTGAATATTTTAGTATAAAAACTATGTATAGAAACCGAAACAAAAAAATAATAAACATTATCTCAACAAATAAAAGAACACATATTTCTTCGATTTTTCCACAAAATTCAAACTCAATGTAATACATGTTTTAAAATAATCGATTGATTGTGACATATAAACGCCTTGCTATGACAATATTTCGATATAAAAGTAGCGTTTTTTCTTCAACGATCTTAGCGCAATTATGCGTTTACCTATATTACTGATGATAAAACGCTGATGATGCGTTTTATTGCCACTACATTTCTATGATTACGCAATGAACGATACAAAACGACGGTACTAAGAGATTTGCACGCGCTGTGAAAATTATGTGCCTCTCTTCTTTCTTCCAACGCAAAAACTTATTTCTGCAAACGCGCGCGAGTTTAGTTTTAGCCAACTGTAACCACTTTTACACAATCAAAAACATACACGTGCGCGATTGCGTATCTATTAAAAAAAATTTAGTTGTTACTATCGAGAAAAGGTTGTAATGTATGATAATAATTCTGCAAAAAAGTATTAAGTTTTTTGACAGTAAATGCGTTTATTTGTCTCTTGGTCCGTGTTTTTTGCAGTGTAATTAAAGAAAAACAAAAAAAAAAAAAAAAACAAATTAAAAATAGAAAAGTGAACATGTTCATGTGGCTATTACACCATTTCTAATTTTTTCTAACACGAAATAATGTAACAGTTTTTAATACGACGTTTCAAGCATCATTTTATAATGATCAATAATTTTGTATCAAAGTGAATTTTGAAATACACCAAATTATGTACTCTCGTAAAATATCGTTCAATTTTTTTTTCGAATATCATTCGTGTGTAACAAAATAAGGTCCGTGACAAAGAGCGATGATGAAACGGAACACAAATAACTCGCGTCGAGCTTATATATCCGAGTTCGGAAATTTGTTACACTACAAGCACGAATAGTTGGTCTTTGAAGTGTTTCTCGCGCGACAAATACGCGCGCATAGACACGGAAAGACAGCAGACTGTGTTCGCGGGAGCGGGCAAACATTTCGTTGAAAAAGTTCTCTAGTGAAAAGCGGACGCGCGCAGTTTCCGCGTTGCAGCTCAGGCCAAGTTGTGTGCTTCGTCATATACGAACCGCATCGATGCAGTCGCGTTGTGCACGCGAGCGACAGCGGCAGCGCTTGATCAAACAATAACGCGTACCATTGTACACATGCACGCGTCGATACGCGCGTGCAGCTTTGCGGTGGACCGGCTCGCATACAAGCCGCATACATGCAAGTGGCTTTGTTTCCAATGTTGGACGCGACACACACACACACATACACATATGTATTTTTTGTATATATATATATATATATATATATCCAACGGTGTTTTATAGAACATTCCGTTATTATCTGATTCACTTGACTTGGCAGTTAATTTTTTGACTTATACCCAATTTCTTCACTTCTGTAAAGCTTATAAAATGAATCTTTTATTCTACCAGATATCTTTATTTAGAGAATACCCACATAACACATAGACTTCCTTTGGATGTCTAATATATGTTGAGAGCATATATATATGGGATGTCCAAAGAACGTCCATATGTTGTTTGGGTAGCTATTGAGAAGATATGAATAAATCGAACATTATATTGTTTTTGGCTATCCGAGCGTTAAATGTTTGTAACATGAGTCGAACACTGTGTTAAAATCTAGTTGTCGTGAATAATATACCTCGATTTAGAAATAAATTATATGTGTTATTATATAGAAAAACTCTCATTGTTTAATGTGTTATACCAGATCCCCGAAAGAACATATACCTACACACATAGTCTTGCAGACATTTACCTGCACATCTACAATCAAACTAACTCGAGCCAATATCGACTATTACAAACTGCGTTGGTAGCGTATCGCCTCCGAAGCCATGTGCTTAACTGTACGGTATTGTGAATGTATCAATACTGCACTGTACGTTCTTGCCAATGTTATGCCAATAACAGCGTTCACCGCAGAATGGTGTTGTACTTCGGTGGTCAAACTTAGCGCAATGTTGACAGTCAGTAGCGACAAGACTTGTAAAGGTACTTAGGTCAATACCGGACTGTTCCCACATTTACACTTGAAACATTTGCTGACTATAATTACTTCTTCTTTCTTGCAAAATGTTTAATTGTTATATATATATATAACAATTATATATATAACTGATATACATATATATATCAGTTTGTTGCTCATCATGCGTTACTTTTTTAAACGCTATAATTGGATAGAATCTGATGCAACAGAAGTCACACAGCGCAGTGATGGCAAAAATATGTATATAATAAAATATGAATATTGCAAAAATATAACGCAAAGAAAAAACTACACAATGTAAAAGATAAATTAAGACGTTTATAAGTTTGTGCATAAAAAAACTCAACAAAATATCCATAGATTATTTTAATTATAATATTTGTTTACAATTTTTTGCAATCACTGCGCTGTGTGACTTCTGTTGCATCAGATTCTATCCAATTATAGCGTTCAAAAAAGTAACGCATGATGAGCAACAAACTAGAAATGTAAATAATAAATTTAAATAACAGAAATGTAAATAATAAATTTAAAATTCAGCTTGAAAAACACCGCAAAAGCAGAGGTACCAAACGTTTACATTTTCTTACTGAAAGTATTAATAGTAATATTATATTTCGTGATAAGTACAATAATCAATGCATTGTTCATACGCAGCAATCTTATCACGCATCTGCGCTGGCATAATAACGAAGGATAATATGTAAGGAAGGAAAGTTTCATGTGTGTCTTCCGATCAATTTAGAACTTGTATATAATATTGTCGTGTTTTGCGCGACACGGCGGCCTATATGTCGGTAGAAAGTTAAGTGTTTTGAAATAATCTATAATTACAACTTCTTGTATAAACAAGTTTAAAACTGCATGGTCGAAGATTTATGCGTGATACAGAACATAGGAATTTTAATAATTTTACTTCGGAAAATCTCATAAGAGACAGTATAATAAACAATTTGGTATGCAAAGTCCTAAGCTTTATTATAACTTGAAGAGTAAATTATTGTTGATGCATTAAATTTGATTAATAATGCATTTATATACGATCATCACATCAATTTAAAATGTAAACATTAAATGATATTAACGTTAAGAAATATAAAAATGCAATGTCTGTGTTAAATTTAAATATTTAAAAATATATTTTTTAATGCAAATATTTTATATAAATTGTTTTTATATATAAATATCTTTTATATTTCTCACTTCTTAACAAGTAAAAAACATTATTTTACAAAAACAATATATTATCTCTTTTTTAGGTTCTTATTCATTGTTTTTTCTTTAAATTCTATAAACAAACTTCAACAGCACAGCGACTCTAAAATTTATATTCAAGTCCTCTCTACATAACTTTATTCTTCACAAATTGTCTAGAATAAATCCCCTTGGTAAAACAGCGAATCTGCAGCGAGAACACTGCAACTACTATGTTTAGCTACCAACACTACCAACTTTTCGGATTATCCAGTTCACTTCAGTGCTTTGAAAATGTCATTAAAGCAGGTAGTGTCTCTTCTTAAGCGAATATAATTTCAATGTTTAATATCTCCAAAAAAAATCTACAGAGAATCTGAAGGTGATTCTAAGACTCATAATAACAAAAATTACAGATGATCATTGAAAGTAAATACGGCGCATCAAGAAAGAAAATACTGACCGTGTTCAATAGAACAATTATTGAATTGTCGTCTTGTCAATACTCGATGTTAATTTGTTGGTTCTAAAAGTAAGAGCCAATCATGTTTGATTGCTATAAAGCAGCTTGTTCTGCTAAACGTAGCCACTACTATTGAGCAGCGTTTGCGTTCCTATATTGATCCGTAGCGGCTGGTAGTGGCGGCGATGATAGTTGCTACGGCAACTATGTTCGCTACTCAGATGGCACCACACCACACAACAACAACAAAACTACCCAAAATATGCAGGTTTATATGCATTTTGCGCGACTGTCCTAAATTTAGCAATTCTGTGCATCAGTAAGAACTGTTTCTGAGTGTAACTTAAGAAGGTGTTCTCTCTCTCTCTCTCTCTCTCTCTCTCTCTCTCTCTCTCACACACACACACACACACACACACACGCACGCACGCGCGCGCAATTTTCAAGATTTCGTCGACTACGGTAATTTTAATAATGATGATATCGATGCTTTGTATTTGCAAGGTTTGTGCTTTAAAAGGATACTGGATACTGCCTATAGAAACCTGTAAACCGACGTTTTTATAACCTAAATTTATTTTCTAATTTTATTTATTGCGCAACATTAAAAGCGCTTCTACAGAAGCAAATAAATATAAAAAACTATATAAAGCTTTTGAAAATGAGTATATAATGCTTTTATGAACTCTTTTTTTAATTCATAATGATAGTATATGGTATCAGATATACATCATCACGAACTCAGGTTTCTCTCATCAATGAGATAGTCAAATCATAATTTGAATAGCTCATTAGATTTGTTTTTGTCGTGCTTATAACGCTTGTTTATTGTAAATATGTACATAAGCTTACAAATATTTCTACATACATGAATATATAGTGAGGTTATAAAAGGAAACTGTATAAGAAAAAAGTTGTGCTGAATTTTGACATTCCAAAGAACAAACGCCAATTCTTAGTACAATTTACTTATTTCTGTAGAAGCATTTTAGATTTAATGCAGTAAATACGACACCAAACGTCATAAGAGAAAGTCGGTTTACAGGTCTCTATAGGTCTCTATAGTCGGTATCCAGTACCTTCTTAAGGATGAAGAGAGACTGATGCGTGGTTCAGGGAGTATAATAAACTTATCTAACTGATACAAAAACAATATAACAAACTGCATATAAGGTGACAAGTGTGTCTGACCTGCAAATTCAAAATTGCAAGTAGTTATATATATGTATATGCAACCACAGCACATGTTTATATTGCTAGTTGATGACAGATTTTTTAATCAATAGAAGTATCCTTAACTTTACTAAATTAAGCAATTATAATAAATCTAAATATAATATAATACATATATGTACAATAGAAAAATCTGTACAATAGATCTGAGATAAAAAAATCCAGCAGAGATTTGACTGATTGATGCAGAAGAAAGTAATCCTAAGCGAAGACCAAAACTTTGCCGGAGTTTTGTTTGCAGAACTGGATTATATGGTGACATTTGAGCACACTGTTGCAATGGAGCTTCCCAGAGATTATTGCTTTGTAAGCCCAACAACAGGATGTACTGGCCGTTCCAGTTGACATTCAACTTGACTCGAAGTCTCAAAGTTGAGAGTGCCTGAATTTCTTGAGGAACACAGCTTCTCAAACAAGAGGTCAATAGTACATCGGACACATCGGTATTACAAATAGTAGATACATCGATATCTCCAGGAATCAAAATACTCTCAGCGATATATAGATCTAATTCAGTAATACTAGAAGGCACGTTGTTCCATATGGAAGATTTTCTGGTAGTAGTTTCGTATGTCTGATGACCTCGCAACATCGTCGTGAATCTAGTTCGAAGACTATACACACTGGAGGAGAGCACAAAGGATTGCGCATCATGCCAGATCTGATGAAAGCTTTTAGACAATGATTTCTTATTCCGTCTTTTTACTTTTTTAACTCTTGCATGAATATGTTTCTTTGTATATTTTAATGGCGTGTTTATAGTATAAAAATTCTTCTCATAAGAATCGTTTTGGATAATCTTGTTAGTAGCTGAATTATCACTCATGCTTCTCTTAAAGAAAGATTTTGTGTAGTCAAATTTAGCTTGTTCATCAACTTTATGATGTTTTTCTCTTCTGGATCGTTGTACGTAAATCCCTGCTGCAGTTACAGTGTACAAAAACTTGGTACACTGTGGATCATCATAATGGTCCCATTGACCAGTCCACAATTTATCTCCCGAATATATAAGAAATTGTCGTCTGGACCAAACGCCACCTTCGGAACTTTCGCATCTCTCACTGTGCCAAAAACCTCCGATCAGTGCAGGTAGAGCCGCTGTTTGTTGAAGAAGAGGTGGATTAAACTCATTACTTCGAGATATACTGCCACATATCGGACAACTGCTCACCTGTAAAATTAGATAACAAGAGATGTCATCTTTTTATTTATCATAATTTATGTGCTTTAATACGTTTTGCTTATTACTCTAATGTATTCTTATAACAAATTGTAGGTATATATCTATGCGATAACACAAAATATAAATTTTACTACGCTAAAATGTGATCTAGTAAACAAAAAGTAACAGTAATGTAACATTAATGTTATAATTTCCCAAATTTCCACTTAACAATGTAACTGCGATGTAATATGCCTTGTACGTAGCAGTTACATTGTTGAGTGGGAAATTATAACATTAATGTTACGTTACTGTTATTTTGTGTTTACTGGGAATTACATACATTATAACTTATATTAATTATTAACAAAAAGAAGTTTAAGTAAACGTACGGTATCAGCGCGAATCATCGCTGTAGGTTGTAACGAAGTTGGTTTATAATTCCAACGAGAAAGCACATTAGGTGGAGGATTAGCCAAAAAGAGTTGAAAATTAAACAAGCCGGACGGACCGGATAGTCTCTTTTGTACTCTCAGCAGCTTTAACTCGGCAAATTCGATTCCAAATGGCTGCAAACAGTTTATATCAAATCGCTTTTTTCCAGGCCAATAAACTTGTAAAGAGTTATAACTCGGACTTTGCCACAGCGATGACGTCGAGCGCTCGTAGATCAATTTGGGAACGTAAGGTCGCCATTTTGGCTGAGGACCGCAGGTTAGATTCAATTTTAATCCGAACTTGTGAGCAATCTGCAAAATTAATGTTTAACATACGATTTTTACACATTACTTGTATACATGTTAATTTTATTCTTCTAAAGGAGATTGATTAATTTACAAGTACAAATGTATACCTGTCGATTTAATGGTACAATATGAATTACATCTACATGAAATTTTGTATCAGTTGCACCGGAAACAGCAATAGATGGTTCCAATGAGTTAATAAAACCACGGATTATGACAGTATGTGTAGCTATGCTGCATGACTCTTCGGCGTAATGATAGCGCAACAGAAGAAACGATCCATTTTCAAAGAATATATATTTTCTGATTATGTACTCAGGTCCAGCTCGCACTTCGCATCTGCAAGATATAAGATATGTATTATGTTGTACTTTCTTCTCAAAGTTGTTTATAATAACATACTTTATAAAAGAAGAATAGATAATTATTAATTGTTGTTAATTTTTTGTTACATTAACAGACACTGTTGTTTTTGATTATTTTTAATTGACATAATATCTGTTTTACTAAACAATGAACAATCGTTGCCGTATCTTTTAATGTGAATAATTACCAAAGAATATTTACTCTTGAGATAACCAGGTGTGATACAATCTGGAAAGACTATCGTCTACGATTGTCGCGCGGTCCTTATTACTGACTTCTTCAATAGCCGCTTTGCATCGCAGTAACATATTTTTAGTTTCCAAATCTCTTGATAAAGCTTGATTTGAATTCGCTGTTATATAAATAAAAACCAAACATTTTTCATGCAAAATTTAGTAATGCCTAATTCTTTCTCTGAAATAGCATTCCCTTACGAAAAAGAACTACTGGCAATAATATATTGCAGTGGTACGAAAAAATGACTGGCATTTTGTGTAATTGCCAGTAATATTCTCAGTGATTCCTGTAATACCTAATAATATTCTTATGTAATTGTCAGTAATATTTATATTACTGACTTTATTTATATGTAATCGGCAGTAGTTCTTTTTCGTAAGGGTTTTAACAGTAATAATCGAAAGTATTAAATTTATCGCGCGATGCTTATTATAAGAAAACAAAAATCAAAAGAATTCAAGAGGAAATAGCTTGGCATACTCTTATGGCTATTTACTATTCAATCGACGTACGATGTCTCCTACACGATTCAATGTTATTTTTTTCTTCTTTTTTTTTTGTGGCGTCATTGTAATTGATATTCTATCTGTGCGTTCAGACTTGTACGGAGAGTGGTAATGCAACACAATTGGTCTGTTGGTAACATCATGATGCAAACACGGTGTAAAGACACATAGCAATTTTAAACACACTTTGTAGTAACACAAATTTTACATACAAAATTAAACGTTATTTATTAGTTTGTGTGCAACGCAAGAAGATATTTTTATCAGCTTTTTATTAAATTTTCTTCTAATAGTGAAATTATTTAAGTTAAAATGAAGAATTTTAACAAGAAAGTTTTGTGTGAAAACTGTTTCTTCTCTAATTAAAAAAATGCAATAAAATCGATACTACAATATTAAAAATTATGTTCTTAATTTTATCACATGTTATGATTTGTTTTAATTTTATTTAATAAAAATATGATACATTCTTTGATCAAGCTCTACAAGTTTATATCAACAATTTATTTATTAATTTTACATATCCCACGTAAACAAGTTTAAATTTAATATAGAAATGTAATTTATTTTGTGTTATATAAAACTTTGCCTTAAATATTTCTTCCTCTCTTTTTTTTCATATCATTATACATGATACATATACTTAATGTATATATGTACATATGTACTACATATGTATGTATGGTGGCGCAGATATGACATATATATACTTACTCGTCATCAGGATATAAATGACAACAGTTGTCGTTAACGTTAATATAACACTAATTGTGCACATTTTTTGTTTAATTATATTAATGAATATCAAGAAAGGATCCATTCTTTGTGTTTTAAATTAAAATGTTCTACCGTAAATTTTTATCGTGTCAAATCAAAACAATTTTTCCGATACAATCCACTCTGTTGCGCGCGTTGCGTTCTTGTAACTACCTACTGTCTCTTCTTCGAAGAACTCATTTCTTCGATCTATCTTCAAGTTATATAGCTTTAACCCCACTCCAATGATAACATACAGCTGAGGTTTCATTGCATCTAACAAGATATACTAAAGAGTGAAAAGAAAAATTAAATATATTCTCATTTTTCCTGTCCAATGAAAGTCGAACCGATTTTTATTGTAAAAATTACTTGTCCATCATGGGAGAATGAAATATTGTTCTGCACTAAGGGCTTGAGCACAATAGAGAAAATATTAGGAATAAGAATTAGAAATAAAAGTTAAATGTACTATACAATGACAAAAAATAAAATATAATATATAAATACAAGAAGTATGTCATAACTGCATGATGTACAGCCTACATTTATATACATTTATATGTTATATTTTATTTTTTCGCATTGTACATTACATTTAACTTCTGTTTTTATTCCTATTCCTAATATTTTCTCTATTGTGCTCATGTCCTAACATATAAAGCCTTGCACAATGCGAGAAAATAGCGATAGCAATAGGCGATAGACACGGAATTCGTCAAAAATTTTATTGTTATTGCCTATTCCGTTTTCTGCACTGATATACATGTATTTTTGTTTCAGACAAAAGTTGTTGGGAATTAAGTAACCCAGCAAACACAGATATATAACATCAATATTGTCGTATTAAAACAAATGTAACAAGTAATATAACATGGTCGTTGCTTGTAACATCCATGTTAGTTGTAATTTCCTACTTACCGTATATTGCAGTTATATAATATGAATATAACATGTAAGTAGAATGTAATATAATTGTTATGTAGTTACAGAAATGTTATATGAAAGTTATAATGTCATTACCAGCTAATAACAAGCAATATAATAGATATATAACATAATTATATTACATTTATAAAACAAAGTTACATAACATCGATATTAATAGAGTATAACAGCTGTTATATTACGTATATCACGCTGTTACTTCTATATTATATAGCAGTTATATATATTCTGTGTTTGCTGGCAATGCATTATATGCCCTAATAGGCACATTTGTGAAAATATTGCACAAAAATGGAATCATAAATGGCGACGATTTTGCAATGATTGCATTAAGATGATTCGCCATAACGCAACAGTTTTGTCGAAATAAAATTTTGTAAATAATATTTGTCACAAATTGCAAAAAAGTCGTTATGCATTTCCACAATATATATCTCCAATAGGCAAATTGTGAAAATATTGTACAAATATGACATCATGAGTGACGACGATTTCTTGCATTTCTTTATATGCAATCATATTTCTACATATTTTAAACATAACATAGCTGAATTTCTTTTCTTAATTATTGGACAATTTCTTTGTGAAGTTTTGCAAATATACTGCTAAGATGATTCGCCATATCGTTATTCTTTTGCCGAAATAGTATTTGGAAAGTAATTTTGCAAACAACTACAAATATTTCAAAAAAGATCAATGTTTTTACATCTATTTCCTAAAATATGTCTGTATAATTGCAAATTACAATTTTAGTGCAAGATTTCGTCACATAATTTTGTAAATGGTTTCCTATCAGGGTGGGCATACGCGATTGACCTTAAGTAGCGTCATGAAAATCATGTCAAGGTCGAGTTGAATTTTCTAAATGAGAATCCATGTATTTCCTTGTATATTCTTAGGTGGCGTCAAGACGTTTTGAAACATGGTTACAAACTCTTTTTAGTTAAGATCTTCCTGAGTTATAAGATTTCGAAATTTCAGTGCCGCCAGCGTTAACATTACCGCGTGAAAGTCGTACGGTCAGATTTACATCTCTTCGGGGTGCTTGATTAATGTAAGTTCCAACGCAGTATAGTACGAGCAGAGAGAAGACTGAGAGCGGCTAGACGTATAAGAGAATGTGTAATCGCCCTGTAAGCCAGCGCAATGTCCATGGATGGTGCATAGACGTAGAATATACAGGATGCCCCGTAATTGCCGTCTCACTGCTTGTAGGCAGGTAAAAAGGGTTATTCTAAGACAAAAAGTCCTATACCACTTTGGAAGATTCGCAATAATTAACGAAATATTAATTAATAAAGATTCGCTAATTAGCGTGCATCCAGCGTAAGGACAGCCCAGTCTGTCGCGCCGTAGCGACGGAATACAATAGCGCAGATAGCGCGCTGCCCGAACGCAGCCTATATGCTGTCTATGTATGTTTCTTAGAATAAGCCCTTCTACCTGCCTACGAGCGGTGAGACGGCAATTACGGGACACCCTGTATAGACTGCGCGTTTGGCTGAAAAGATGTCTTTATGGTTGACAAAGATAACATACTTTGAACTGGGTGACGTCCGTTTGACCACGGACACCGCAAGATTAGCATACTGTACGATTGACCACGGTATGATAGGATAGGATAGGATAGGACACAGTACAATTGACAAACAATGTGTATCGTGACAATTAATGATGATAGTAACACAGGTTAGGTTAGGTTAGGGTTTTTCGGGGAAGGAGTGCAGGGGGAAAGGCGGAGTCTCTCTCCCGCTCACACGTGTACGATTGTGTGAAATACAAACAAAATATTTACTTGTAAAAAGTGTATATAATGTCGGAAAACGTACTGTGATCAATCGTACCGTGTCCAATTGTATGTGTCCAATAATACGTGTGCAATCGTACTATGTTCAATTGTACCATGGTTAAACGGATCACGCCATTCACGCCCCTTTGAACTGTAACTCTCTGTCTATTAATATTTGTGGTGAGATCAGGGCCTATTGTTTCATATCGCCTAACCTGCCATCACCTCTTAATCTCTTTCATTCCTCTTCACCCTCATTATTTTTCTATCCCCACTTTTCCACTACTATTCTATTAATCAGTGAAGACTTCTTTTTCTCCCACTACTTTGCTAGACAAAGATGAGGCTACTGAATGATCAACACCAGCTGTTTCTCTCAACGTTGAAGACATTTTCCTAACCTGGAAAAGGTAGGGAACGCGCAGTCTATACATTCTACGTCTATATATGACAACGACTTGGTACGTATGTTATGTTTGACTTTACTTTAGTCACGTGTCTTTAAAAACGTGACTAAAGTAACGTCACGTGACAGGAAAGAGAGGAAAAACAATACGTGACTAAAGTCACGGCTTTATTTTAGTCACGTGTCTTTAAAAACTATGTCCAAATGTGAACCATGTGAACATGGTTTTATTTCGCTGTATGTCCACAGCGTGCACTTCTGACCGGCCCAGTAATCTCGCGGCCTGAGTGCAGGGGCTGCGGATCCGGAGGTCCCGAGTTCGAATCCGCTCACCACTTAAAGATTTTTACCGGGCCGGTCCCTTTCAACCGAGTTTATCGATTGATCGGCGAACGTAAACGGGCCTCTAAAAATTAATTCGGGTGTAATCCCGAATTAATTCCCTTCCCACAAGGCGATCATAGTCACAACACCTCGAGCACGAGCCTGACACAGATGGGCACGCCCACTGTGAAAAGAAGGCCGTGTATCACGTGGTAGTAGAGTACTGCACAATCCCCCCGTGAAAAGAGTATAAAGATTCAACTGACTTTGATAATAAATGTGTCTTAATAACCAAGAATGGCTGCAGGCACGTAAAATACCTAATAAAAAAAAGAGTGTGCACTTCTATTCGATTTGTGTGTTTAAAAGTATTTAGGAGCCACCAAAGTAAAAACAAAAAAAAAGTGTCACTCCACACCCATTGGCTGTCATCAAAGGCGATTTTTGGCGATCGTATGGTACATATACCAAAGTGTACCAAACTATAATTTGAAGTCACTCGAACTATAGTTTGGTACACTTTGGTGTACGTACCATACGATCGCCAAAAATCGCCTCAAGTATCTCGCCAATTTCGCACGCAACGCTGTCGCCCGTTGCCCGCTTTTCTTTTCCTATTCACAATATGATTCTCTTCTCAATTTGAACCAAGTGCGGTCGAAGTCTCACTGTTCAGAGCATCCTTCTATCCTTATTTCTCGTTAAATGTAGAATAAAGATAGAATGATACTTCAAAACATTTGCAGTGAGCCTTTGACCGCACCCGAGTACACATGTACAGACACGCTAGTTTCAGCGGGTTATAACGACGTCACGTTGGCAGTACTAGCAACATAGTGTTTCGTTACATACATTGTTTATTTTTTTCTGTCTTCTAATTCTGTCTTTTAATAAGCACTTATCGTTTGTCGACGTAAAAAAAGTGTAATTTTTAGTGTATAGTTAAAAACAAACGTAGTGTATTTAATCTTTATGTGTGTATGTGATATACATATACTTATTTTTTCACAAATAGAATATTGTATAACATCATGAATATTGTATTTATATCATGATTTCAACATGGTTTCTTTAAAATGGTACTCAACATCTCTCCAGAATCTTCGGTTTTCCGTCTTTTACAACGTTTTGTTCATTCTTTTTCCAAGTATGTGCATTTTTTTTTTAACTTATAAATTTCTTATTCTCCTCTTTCCGATTTGGTGGAAATGCCAGAATATTCCAAATAGAAATAAGGAAATTAAAGATAAATGTGTAGATCAAAATTAGTTGACTAAATCATTAAATTAGAAAATTTCTTGTAAAAACATTTTCTAGAGGTTAGAAAATGGTATTTTATGTTTGGTTCCAAAAACTTAAACATGCAATTTAATAAAGAGAAGAGTTAACTTGTGTATAAAGTTCGCGGCATACGATGATTTTTTGCGCTAGATACATGTAAACACCAACATGTTTTGATCAATTGACTTTAATTTGGAAATGAAACGTCAAATCGTCGTGATATTTGCTTGCAATCGTAATCTAGCATGAAGAAAAACATGTACCACTTAACTATTTTGCGATGACAGAACTTACTCAGACACATTCCAGATAATCATTTTATTATGTTCAATCTTATATTGATCAAAATTTATGTCGATATAATTTACTATTATTTATTTATCCTAATCAGACTGTGTTCACAAATGAAATGAACATAAATTAACATGTACTTGAGAAAAAAATCATGAGCTCAGATATTGATGTTGATAAATGTGACAGCTCATAGGTCAATATTGTATAACTGAATTTTATATTCATAAAGATAAAAATAACAGTAAGAAATTAAAGTCTAAATTTAGACAAGAGGAATGTTTAAGACAAAAAGATGAAATAATGAATCTGATTGGCTGAATCGCGGTTGTCATGAACAATATAGCGTTTCAAATGAAATACGAACATTTAAACTTAACAGTTACGTGATAGTGAGTAAATGTTTAATTTGTCATTATTATTATCATCATTGTATTACAAAATGTCTATTATAATGTGCTTTTGAATGCAAAACCACAAATAATTAAAGAAAACAAAACAAAAAAATAAAAATGGTGCAAAAATAGAAGTAGAACAAAGTAAAAAAATTATTTTTCAGTATAAAACTAAATAAATATAAATTATTATCTATATAATAGATGATCTGATATTTGATGCAGTATCAGGCTGCTCTCACTTCATCAGAGTTTCAGGCAGAAACTCTGATGAAGTGAGTTGAAATGTTCGCTTGAAACTTCGGTATAAAAATGACACTACCGCGGTTCAAACCCGAAAAACATCTTCGATTGTTAATAGATGATCTATTATAGCAATTATGGTATATTGTGTATAAATCTTTTGTTGTTATCGTAGTTTCATTTTTTATTCTATATATTTTAATAGTATTTTTTAATAATATTTATATTTATGTAATTTTAAAACAGTTTATTTATTAGTATACATAGTATGCCTTAACGACAGCTAATCAATAGTATAAACGTCAAACTTTGTGTCTATATCGTGAACAATATGACGTACCGCCGTTTCCTCTTTACGTCAAGGACATCCCGCAATTGTTACAATTTTTTCTGTTTTTCATATTTTTATGCTTCTTTCTATGCTTGTGACAGTCTACCTCTTCTATTCTTCAAATTTTCTTTTCTCTGATTTCACTTGTTGATCTACAAAAGTGACTTATGCTTCATATTCTTATATTCTTATGTCATAGTTAGAACCAGACTCCCTATCTATTCTTAATATGTTTTCCAATAAATAGTTATAAGGAATGACAAGAGACAAAATTTTTTAAGAGGAAAGTTTTGTCAAGCATACAGAAAGAACAGAGAAGAGGAAGATTCGACTATATCCTGTGTGTATAAATTTCGAATTTTCGAAAAGTTTAGAAAACAGTCGAATATCTCATAAACAATGCATTTAAAAAACATGTTTTAGATAAAAGTTACGACTTAGAAAAACGCATTCAATAGCAGTATGGGCTTGACCATAGACGTTGTCAAGTATATTCCTGAACTTTTCAAAAACTTTGTATATACATACAATTAAATAAATTTAACTAATTCGTTACATTTGTGAAAAAGAATTTATGTTTGTTTATTTAAAATACATATTGTTATTTTTTAAAGTTTTATAAATCTCATAATATGATATTTGATGCTTTCGCGGTGTGTTGTATTATATAAAGATGTTTTTCGAGTTTGAACCGCGTTAGTGTCATTCTTATACCGACGTTTAGTGAACATTTCAGCTCACTTCATCAGGGTTTAAAGTATCAGGTTGCTCTTTAAACCCTAATGAAGTGAGCTGAAATGTTCAGGAAACATCGGTATAAGAATGACACTACTAACCCGAAAAACATCTTTGTATGTTGATCTCATAATATGTTTGCATTCTGAGTAGTTTTTGAATCCGCATTTATTTGTGACATGTTTAACTACAAAGTCAGATCAGAGATCAGATTAAACACATTCTTTTATCTAAAGATAAAAGTTTTTTTCTTACAGTGAGCTATTGTACAATGCCGCGGGCAAGTCAGGAAGATCTGATTCATTCCTTTAAAAGCTATTCGGACGTAACTATGTTTCATTATACAATACCAAAAGAAGTGCTTCGGGCTACGTGGCAATTTGCCGCATTTATGGATGATCTCACATGCCAACCACGAAAAGTTTACATGTAAAAATTATATTCTTATTATATTCTTTTAATTATAATTTAAGATTATTTTATAGTGTAAATAATAAAGTAGTAATAGGTCCAACGCAATTGTTGGTACGTATATAAACTTTACTTATTGAATATAATGTAAACGTTTTGACACATAGTTTATGTCTTTTAAGATATATACAAAAATGAAGATGTTTCAGCTATAAATGTTGACAAATTACACACACAATCAATAAATTAAGAAGATATATCGAATTGTATCTCAAGGATAGCTGTATATTTTTTCGAATAATGTATTTGTTCATCCATTCATACGTTCATCCAGCATAGTGATTAAAACGTTGAAAAACGATCAAGGTGACGTAAATACAGACAAAGTATTATAATTTAAAATTCTCCAAGGTTAATTTATAAAAACTATGCATAAACGTGTGCTCTTTCACTTATTGACTTTGCGTAATTTGACAACATTTATAGCCGAATTCTATTTGTAAATGTATTTTAAATTGTATTGAGAAAAAACACAAGAGTCAAAGTGTTACACTATAATCAATAATAAATTTTATGCGCACTAATAATTGTGTTTACTCAATTGCTAGCTTATTAGTTGTATTTAATTTCTAAGCCGTTATTAATATTTTTATTTTTATTATAATATATTCATATATTTATGCTCTTTCTCTTTTTTACTTACATACACGGACATACGCACTCTCTCTCTCTCTCTCTCTTATCTGCTTGATAACAATTATATGTAATAATTAGTGTATTTGAGATCTTTCTTTTTTTTGTTGATTATGTATATCATATTTCTTATATTATTTACTTTGTTTTAAAGTTTAAATTTTTGTTATATTTATTTGTTAATACTACTCTTATTTTTTTGTTCCTATAATATACAAGTCTTTATTAGTAATATGTAGTTATGTACATTTTTTTACTTGTCTTATTTTCAGTGTTGACTTTATTGATTTTTACGCATATGTACAAAAAATTTAATGTATTTACAATTTTATATATAATTAAAATATAAAGTTTTTCTTTATTGATAAAAAGTAAAAACTAAAATTTTTCGATTTTATCTCAAATAAATTACACAGTTTAACCCAAGGTCACACATAAAATTACAACTTTCAGACACTTAAAGTTTGGTAGTTACCCAATAATTACCAAGAACAACAATATATCTGTAAAAAATATGTATACTGAACATGATGATAGTATTATAGTTACTACCATCACAACTTATCAGTCAAAAAATACAACTCTTGTTCCGGTTTACGGACCGCAACCTGGTGATTGGTTTGTAGCAGCTTACATGCCTTACTGGAATGAGAAAGTACAACAACAGGTACAATTGTTTTGCCTTTCTTTCAATGTAGCTGTAAGGAAAACCGGGATTAAAAGTCATTAAGTCAATTATTATTATTACATACCAGAGAGAAACCTGAGAGCGGCCATGGCCATAAAGCCCCTTGCACAATGGACGGAATAGCGATAGCGATAGAAATAACACCAGTTTTAAAGAGTTTATATTCATAAATAACGGTAGGAACAGCGGAATCTAACATACAAAAATACACATGTATCAATGCAGATCAGAAAACAGAATAAGCAATAGCGATAAAATTTCCGACAAGTTGGAATTCTGTGTCTATTGCTTATCGCTATCACTATTCCCTCGCATTGTGCAAAAAGCTTAAGAGTTTCTGCGATAGCTTTTCGTGGACATGGTTCTATTCCATGCTATGAGAACATCGACGTGGTGGGGATACGCACACAAGCGAGAACCGTCGTCATACATCGACATAATATGTCTGCACTCTTCCACGAGCGCACACAGACAACGATCTCGCTTGTGTGCGTATCCCCACCACGTTGGTGTTCTCATAGCACGGAATAGAACCATGTCCACGAAAAGCTATCGCAGGAACTCTTATGGCCGTGGCCGCTCTCAGGCTTCTCTCTATTACATACCATATCTTGTTTAATAAATACAAAGAAATATTCATCTTTATAGTGTAGATTGTTACTATTAGTCGCTGTTAGTCGTATATACGAAATAGCTGTTAATAAAACATAACGTGTGGTATTTATGGACACTTTTTTAAAATTGTAGTTTCTATCTTTGTTTTATTCATTTCATTGATTTTAAAGTTTTTGATTGCAATTTCTTCTTAAGTTGTAAGAAATATGATAATTTTTCTTATATTTACTTAACCGCACGTTATTGCATTATAGTTAATAAGTATAATCTTTTTTTATTAAAAATGAATGTTTGAAGTAAGTTGACTCGAGACGAGATTCGTTCTCATATAAATAAGAATGCATGTAAAAATAATCGTGTCGTATATTGTGATGAATAAGAACAATATTTTTGAAGTCATTCTACTTTTTTACATAAAAATATTATCTGTGTAAAAAAGACTTTTGCTTACTTGATATAACCATTTGTAAAAATTATTTATAAAACTTAACTTTTATAAATAAATGAGTTATAATAAGTAGTCATATTTGATGAATACATTGTTTTTTTTTTATTATAGTATGTAAAAGTGTGATTTGTAACCTCGGTTGTTTTTTATTGTTATACTATTTTATATCATCTAGTCTCTGAAGTATTTATATGTATACACTAAAATTTAATTTATAACAAATTAAAATCAAATGTGCAAAAGTTAACAAATTTAATAATTAGAAAACTAAAAACTAAATAGAGCAGATTATTCTTGTCATTTATATATTGTAGGGACTTGAACATAAATGTCAATATAGTATAGGTACAGTAGTATTGTGGTCACAGGAAGATAATATCGAAAACATACCCGTTGGTTATAAACAAACATTACGAACAAGTGCAACGACAACTTACTATAAGTAAGATCACAATTATTTAAAACAAAAAAAACAGAACATCGAGTTTATATTATGTATATATGTATAAATGTATATATGTATAAAATATGTGATTATATTTTATTTAGAGTATTTTTTTCTATTTAGAATATATATTCCATCAAAAACATGGAGCTTTCGTTTGTCAGTTTGGAACTGCAGCTTCACATTACGGAATCTTCGTGATATTCGTGAATCTTGTATCGACTCTATATCTTTGAGAGGACGTGCTTTGCCAATACTTAATCAGTCTCATTCTATAAAATTAAAAAATCTGACAATGAACACTAATTACACTTTCGTAGAATCGTCTCCATACGAAGACAGCTACTATTATTTATCGATTGTCTCTAATAGTGTCATAGAATTTAACGTCAAGATTGATATATCAGGTAATTCTTTAATTTATTTTTTGTACAGGTCTTGTACCTTTTATTAGTTTATGCAAAAGAAACAAAGAAATAAACATAAATATGCACGAAAAAGTAAAAAACATTTCCTGCAAATATAATATATACATGCATAATCGTGGATTATCTTGCGTTTATAACGTAAAGTGAATAAATAATAATTGTTGCAGAATGCCCTATTAAGTTGACAGAAAAATTTTTTACAAGAGAATATATTAATACTGTTTCAAGTTCTAATTCGGTAAAAGGACACACCAAAGACTTAATAAAACACAAATGGTATTACCAAGAAACCAATGTTAGTAGCTTTTACAGCAGAGATGAATTTTATAAAAAAAATAAAGCATATGAGACTGATAATTTATGCGTGCCAAGACATCAATTGGTTCGTGTTAAATATGCACAGACATTTTCATCTGTTTATTTCTTACAAGTAAAATTTTTTTCTGAAATATAACAGAGAGAAAAGTAAAAATATGTTTTATACTTTCATATTTGCAACTTTTTTGCAAAATTTTTATAGGGAGAAGAGTGGTTAAGTTCACGGCTAATGTTAACCGATTCAGTTCCAGTAATGCTGCAATTTGATATTTTACCATTAATAGACATTGGTGGCATACTTGATATTAACTTACATCTAGAAGTAAACAAGGTAAAATTTTATTGATTTTTACAAATTTTATAATGATAAAATTTTAATATTCTTACATTTAGTGACAATAGTTAAAATTAGATTGAGTAAAAAAGAGTGTACAAAGCTAATTTTTTTTAAATATTATATATCATTTTTTCTGTAATCTTTTAGATGTCATTAAAACAATCAGTTGTAATAACAATATGCATTCAAAGAGGACGTGTACCCAAATTGGAAAACTATAAGTGTCAAAGTGAAGCTTTATCACTGTATTTATCTTCGTTAGACAAGCAAAACACTAATTTATCAATAGCATATCCGCAACCAGATACATGGTATATTATTACCCATGCAAGATGTTATAATTATGAGTACGTGATAAGTTTTCATGTTTCATATTTTTACATAAAAAATTTTAATCTAATGTACATATGTATAATATATTCAATATAGTAATCCTACATTTTGTCAAGTAAAAGAAATTTTTGTACTAATGAACATTCGTACAAAAAATTGTATGCATTCCAATCAAAGCCCCTGCGGTAATCATGGCATTTGTCAAGAAATTCAAAAAAACATTCTTCATTATGCAACGTGCAATTGTTTTAAGGGTACTAATATTATATCAATACGAAGTAATAAAATAAGTTTATATCTATATATATATACACACATACATATAAGTAAAGAATAATATTGAACAAAAATATTATCTAGGTTACACAGGATGGGATTGCACTGAAGTTCCGAACACTATTCCGATCATGTCTTCTCTGATAAGCACTGTTTTGCTTATTTTGAGCAATATATTTTTCATACCAGCTATATATATAGCAGTCAAACGCGACCTCTATGCAGAAGGTTTAGTCTATTTAACTACTATGATATTCTCATCTATTTATCATGCCTGTGATCAAAATGGACAATTCTGCATTGCAAAGTATGAAGTATGTCATTAAATCTTTTCTCTCTCTCTCTCTCTTACTCACTTTTTTTTTAAGCAAAAGTGTTATTTGACAAAATTTGTTGCGAGTATTTGTGACAAAATCTGTTCTTGATATAGATTTGGGCACTTCAATCCTTTTTACTTTTTCTTAAGTGTCCGCTTATTACAAAAAGATTAAAACAGTTAAAACGCTTTCATCTTTTTATTTTCAACTTGTGGTCTAAAGAAACAGGCTCAAGATATCAAAAAAAAAAAAAAAAAAAATTATATATATATAATTTAGAATATATAATATTTGTATAAATGATGATGTGTGATTATTGAGATATAAATTTAAAGTATAAAAGTTTGGATACTATACATAGGGTGTCCGGTAATTGCCGTACAATCGCTCGTAGGCAGATAGAAAGAGTAATACTGAGTCGAAAAGTTTTATAGCATGGTGCGAGATTTGCAGTAATTAATGAGATCTTAATTAATAAAGATCCGCGAATAAGGAAGCATCGGGCTGTCTTATGCGCGTAAGACAACTCGGCGCGCTTCACGCGTTCACGGTGTTACCTGTACTAACATATGGAAGGAGCTAATGTAACAGTATATAGTATATATATATATATATATAATAAAAGATAACCGCGCGCCGGGCTGTTTTACACAAGACAACCCGATGCATGCTTATTTGCAGATCTTTGTTAATTAAAATCTCATTAATTATTGCGAATCTCGCACAATCGTAGGACTTTTTGACTCAGTAATATTCCTTCTATCTGCCTACGAGCGATTGTGTACGGTACTTATCGAACATCCTGTACACATATACATAAATACATATACTCACACGAAACAAAAATCTATACAAACTTTCAGTAAATTTTTATTAGACTCCAAAATCTTCAAATGAAGTTATTGTTATGGATGTCCATTAAAAATCTAATGGACATATGTCTGTGTAGATATTACAAATACAAAAATTTAAATATATAAATAATTAAAATCTAAAAAATATAATTTGATTTATATTTCTTCTTTATAATATTTTTATAATCCTTGTAAAAAATACTTTTTATTTCAATGCAGATTTTACAATACAGTGACTTCTTCTCGAGTATTCTGGCATTTTGGGTGACACTAGTAGCAATGGCAGAATTGCCAACAAATTTCATACCGTTGTGTCACATGGCTGGAGTATTTGTGATTAATTTTGTTGTACAAATTGATAGGATGCGTCTAATTAGTATATTGATACCGCTATCTATGGGCATTGCAATACCGGTATATTCATTACTCATTAAAGACATTTTAGAAAGAATTTTTAGACTATTGTTTATATGGTATATTATTGCAGATTTTCAGATGTATTTACAAAAGTCTTCAGTTTAGAGAATGTAAGAAACCAAGTCGAAAACTACTATTTGGTTTGCTATTGGTTCTTGCAGGATTATTACTTTATTCCTTCAGTGAAACAGAGGAAAACTATCAAGTACGTACATATCTTTATAATATGTATTTTAGCGAGAAATATACTAGTAGTAAAAATTAGAGAGAAAATATTTTAATAAAAAATCCAAGTTATTTGAAATCTCTGAGAGAATAAACTTTATTATTATAGTTCTTTTATTTCAACATTCTCAATTTGCTCATTTATTTTGTTGCAGTATGTTCATAGCATTTGGCACATAGTTATGGCTACATCGTTAATATTCTTGTTACCATCAGCAAAACTGAAGAGGACAACGTCATTAAGAAGTATTACCTTTTACAATTACAGTGAGTCAACATGGAGCTACAAAGAGTCTTATAGTATTCCTACATTTACAATAATTGATCAGGAAAATCACACAATTGCGCCGAATTGAATATTATGTGGTAGAATCTTTATGCTTTTATAGTTCTGCTTACTTTTTTGTTTTCCACATTTTGTAGTTTATGATAATTATTTATAAAGTCTTATTTGTATCTACTTACTTTCAATAAGTATTGCTCAATTATCAACAATTTCTATATTAGAACTAGCAACAGCACGGTTCGGATTCTATCTAAAACTGTAGGTTCTGTAAGAACTGAAACTGAAGCTTGAGACTCTAAATAAGTAATACTTGAAATATACACTTAGTCAATTGCAGATTGGCATATGTTAGAGGCGGATTGTTGGAGCCGCTTAATTTTTCTTCTAAAAAAGAAAATGAAGTTGGGTTTTAAAGAATTTAAAGAAACAATTTGTTAATAATTGCGTTTCAAAACTCACTGTCAGTACTGAAAATCTATAGTTTAAACACTGCCATTACTGAAAATCTAAAGTTTACGTGACATACATAATAGATTTTCAGTATTAGATAGTGAATAAACGGAACGCAACTAGAATAGCAACATTAGCATGCACAACTATACGTGCTACAACTATACGTTGAAGTCTGATTTGCGGAAGAGCAACGCTCTATATCTGAAATATAGTACATACATAAAATATAAAAGTGTTTTAACAACCGACAGTTAAACAAAGTTTATAATTGTATACATAGATTTTCAAGGTTGCATGAGATTTTTACATTGAAACTTCCATTTTATTGAATAAAACCAATATTCGATAAGTTTAGAATAAATGCTCAGAACGAAACCCCATCCTCTGTACCTTCTTACATAAACATAAACAAAAATAACAAACCTTGGAAATGTGGAAAATACTAAAAAAAGCCAAAGATGCGTAAAAGTTCTAGACTGCGTTCCGTTTCACGCATATGCGCGCATGTATTTATAGTACACGTTACGTATAGTATAGATAAATGCGCGCATATGCGTGAAACGCAGCTCTAATGTAGAACCGCGCGCTCATATCGCTACAGTCTAACCTAACCTAACCTAACCTGTCAATATAACAAATGTTCTACCAAAGCTTTTTTTGCCGGAGTCTTTTGTTTCATACAAAACCGCACCAAATGAGCATAAATTTAATATTAGTGGTTAGGCTTGTAAATATTTACCAATTAAAGAAAGAGTTTTGTCATTGATAAGAAAAGAAATTTTGGTTGTTAACATTAAGTACCATAAATAAGTCGACACATTGAATTATGTAGAATGCTGTAAATCAGACAATCAAAGGGATCATTTACTGGTCTCTACTACAATCATGTCTCATGAACGAAGATCAAAAGGACCCTACTTGGCAGACATTTACGTCATGAAAAAAGTCACATGTCCACTCTCGACACTTAATCGGCTCGTTCAATCAACGCTTAGTTCAATTTAATCTCATCTTCTTGCTTGCTCTGTGCTCACAATTGTGAGACATTACAATCATAAAGAATTGTATTTTATTAATTTGTTACACTTCAAAAAGAGTTAACACATATAGTCTAGATTTTTAGTATTTAAAAAGAAATATACATATATATACATATATATATATATTATGTGTAAATATGTCAAAAATTAAATTTTATCTAAATTTTTTAAATTAAATTATTTTCCGTACATACCTCTTTTATAACTTGAAACACTTGATGAATCGAGACCTCTATGGCCGGTGATTGATAGTCTGATCTTATATTTAAGTTCGTTTTAAGTTCATCTTGAGATGCCACAGATTTGTGATGCAATATTGTTCGTAACATTTCAGCACAAATGCAACAGAATCTGTCATCAAGAGTTCGTTAACAAAATGAAATAAAATTATATATACAAGGTATTTGAAACTTTTTGACACCGAAGATAGATTTGATCATTTGGAATAGAAAAATCACGATAACAAGCCAACACCAGATGTTCGGGTACAATTATTTTTTAATTCGAATTAAAAAAGAATTGTACCCGAACATCTGGTGTTAGCTTGTTATTACCATTTCCCTATTTCCTTATTTAAATATTCAACGAGCTTTAAATATATAATTTAAGAAAAATCACGTATCATTTTGCAAAATTCGTAATAGTTATTAAGTCATTGGTTTATATTAATTAATTAAAAAGCATGTGGAAAATGATAGTTCAGATTCTGTAGATATATAAAAAAAAAAATCATATGATTTTAAGGAAATCAATAAATCAATATCAACTGATAGCTGAGAAGCCGCGCTACACGTTGCTCGCTGCCAAGAAACTGTACAGTAAGTTATTTAAAGCAATTTTTAAAAATAAAATCATATATATCTTATTCACGCCTACAGAATCCGGATTACCGCTTCCCATACGCTTATTGACTCACATAAAATAATTTATAATCCTTAATGCCTATTGCAAATTTTGCAAAATTGTACTTTTGTTCCAAATGACCTACTCTCATTTCAGTGTGTTAGAAAGCTTTAGACACCTTGTATACAGCATCTTTATATGTATATTATTTGTATCATTTTTAATCCTAAAAACAGGATTCTATGATAATTATTAAACTAAAAAGAATCGTTAATATCTTTTAGCAGATGCGTGTGTTTTATCCAGTTTTATTACTTTGAAAGAAAAAAGATAAGGAGAATTTGTTAAAGGAATCGTGGATTTGTGGTAGTTCTGGATAGTTCGCAATTTTCCGCGAGAGGTCCTCGTTATCGGTTACCCCCTTTCGACCCCTAACGAGACATTTGACGACAACGACGAACGGTTAACCACGGGTGCGCTTAGAACTGCGCTGCATTTACGTTTCGTCATCAGTACATACGGCAGTCGTCAGAAGTCTTTGCTAGCGAAGGAAAGCTCTGGAAGATTCATCCGGTTACATACTGTGAATTTGTGTTGCTATCTCTATCTCTCTTTTTCTTTCTATATCTTTCTTTTTTTCAGCTCACTTTAGCGTTTGTCTTTCAATTCTGATTCAAAAGTGTCATTTTGCGAATCTGTGAGGAATCGAGTTCAATTATCGATTTATCAGTGTAATTTCGGTTAGTTTCGACTTTTTACGTACACTTTTCTGCAATTTTCTTAAAAAATTTGTAAAAGGTCATTTTCTTCACGCGTCCAGACGTGCCAAAATATTTTTTCGAGACAATCCAAATGTATGTCTTGATAATTTTTCTAAAGACTGTCCATGTCTAGGTGCATAATAAACAAAGATAATTTCTTGTGAACTTTTGTAAACATAAAAATCATGCAAAACCGTAATGAGAATTTGAAAATTTAACAAATTCTATCGATTTCGGAACTAGTGGTTTGCAGAATCGGAGTTATCAAATTTTTCGAACTCGTGCTCAAGATCGTACATTTTAAAGTGTTTCAGGCTAACTAACAAGCTCCAGCTTGTGCTTGATATTTTCTCGGTCTTGTATTCCGAGAGATGGCGAGTTTGAAGGTGCGCGTGGATTCTCCGAAGGTGCGATACTCGGAGGACTCGATTGAGGCGGAATACGAATATCAGACTGCTACCGTAGCTGAAGATAACGATAGCGATGATGATACTTACACGGTAAGATTCCGGACATCCATCTCTTTATTCAATTGTTTCAAGTATGTCGACGCGTTGTAACAGTCAGTCCATATATGTTTGGGCCTGTGTTTGTTTAAAATTTAAACAATTATATTTCATTTTTATGCCTAATTCATGAGATAACTAAGTATCTTTTATTTTTCTGTTGATAATGATGCTTGTGTGAGTCAATATACCACAATATATTTTGTATTTTTTTTCTAAATGCTTTTTTATTTTTTTATAGTTATATAATTTAAATATGTGTATATATGTATATATTATATTACATATGAAATCATAAATCAGGTGACACCTACATCAATGAAATTGCTGATCAGGACTATGATAAAAGTCCCTAAATTGGGTCTAATGTTGGTAGGATGGGGTGGTAACAATGGAAGTACTGTGACAGCAGCTTTACTGGCAAATAAGCTTAAATTATCATGGGAAACAAAGGAAGGTCTAAAGTCTGCAAACTGGTATATTTTAGTAATTTGATTAATTATTATGAACTGTTAAAAAAAATAATAAACTGTACATATGGGTACTACTAATACTGTTGAATGATTTAGTTGAGATCTTGCTTCATTGTTTCATTATCTTACAGGTATGGTTCTCTGACACAAGCATCTACTGTGAGATTAGGTAGAAGCAAGAGAGGAGATGTTTATGTTCCTATCTCCAGCATGCTACCTATGGTGAATCCAAATGACATTGAAATTGATGGATGGGACATTTCAGATGTGAACCTTGTCGAAGCTATGGCTCGTGCCAAAGTACTAGATGTAAACTTGCAAACACAGTTGCGACCCTATATGATGCACATGAAACCCAGGAAAAGCATATACTATCCTGATTTCATCGCTTCAAATCAGGTAATTATAATTTTGATAGAATTCTATTTTTTCCGTGATAAACATGTAGAAATATGAGTCTTTAGTAATTTATTATAAAATCTAAGTAATCCATAAATTTCGTGAGACAAAAGCCTTCAGTTTTCTCACATATAATGATCTTTTACTTATCTTCTCTCAAAAATGTAACAATTCTTTAACTTGCACATCAATTATTTAATCTTAAAATGTCCATGAAACAATTATTTTTTCTTCTTGGAAAACGCGATTATCATCTTCAATTATCAATTAACATACCAAACTATATCATGTGAAGAAATGTTTATTTTGATTCTGTATAAAGTATAGAAATAAATAAAAACAGATTTTTACAATTTTTTGCTTTTTATGTCACCTATTGTGACTAGTGAAGAATCGTATACATTGTTATCGCGCTCCTGAATAATATCTGAATCTGAACTTTGCAATTAGTGAAACAACAGTTTTACTCTCTAGTTTCAATCTTCAATTGTGCAAGTGTATATAAAGTGTGATAGAAAATTAAACGCAACGTTCTTTCTTTATCACTAAGATAATCGCGACACACGGGTACAGTGTTTGATCAATTACTTTATGCATCAATACATTTTGATCAAGTTTTTTGTGTAATATATTACAAGCTTTAGACCTGTACGTGTGCATAATTAAATCTTTTTATTTATTATTATATATCAAAATTTAGAGAAAGTTAATTATTAAACAGAAAAATTTCAAGACAGTTGTTGGCACGGAGGCTCGGTTATTAATATAACAATTTTGTGTAATTCAAATACATGTACTTTTCAACTTTTAGTTACATAATACATTTGCAATATAAATATATATTTACGCACCAAAACATATTTATGCACTAATAACAATAGTCTGGTTCTTGAAGCTTTATCTTTCTGTTAAAAGAAAGTTTTAAATTATATATACGTATACATATATACGGGGAGTCTTAAACAATTTTGACACAGTCGAAGTGTGAAGGTAAATTGGATTAATCTGAATCGAAAAGTCATGTACCATTTTGCAAAATTTGCAATAGTTATTAAGTGATTAATTAATACATATGATCCGAGCGTGTGGTAAGCCATGGTTCGGACTGTGTAGGCGTGATTTTCAGTTGTGAAAATCAGCTAATCCCAAGAAGCTGTGTTACTAGCCACTTGCTTATTTGCTTCGCTTTTTGCTTTCTTTATCTCTTAGGTGATTGCATAAAGTAAGCCATTTTTCTTTACAACTGAAAATTACAAACGCCTACTAAGTCCGGACCATTGCTTCTCACGCGCTCATTGAGTCACATGTATTAATTAATAACTCAAAATCTATTGCGAATTTTACAAAATTCTTTTTACTAGACTTCTGTTCAGATTGACCCAATCTATCTTCCCACTTCGGCTGTGTCATCATTTTTCAGACACTCTGTATATATATAAATCATTTGTATCTTTAATTATTATTTTAATTACTAAAAAGATAAATTGATGAAAAATTAATTACATATAAGTGCAAAACTAAACTGAAGATGATAATACTCTACACACATTTTTTCTATATACGCACACACAAGATTTTATGAAGTTTTTGTTTATTATATATACAGGGTCTGATAAAGACCTTATCATCGTTCGTAGGCAGGTAGGAGTAAAACCGAGTCGAAAGTTCCTGAACCATTTTTTGTTTATTATTTAAAATAAAGGAGTAATTATTGAGTAAATTAGGCCAATTAGCGCCGACCTTTAGCCAGGCGCACGTCAGAGAGCCACGCGCGTGGCTCTTTACTCAATAATTAAATTTACTCTATAATTACTCCTTTATTTTAAATAATAAACAAAAAATGGTTCAGGAACTTTCGACTCGGTTTTACTCCTTCTACCTGCCTACGAAAAATTGTACGGCAATTATGGGACATCCTGTATATGTATTGTTACATAATATGTATATATGTATATGTATTGTTACATTTTTTTAGAAAAGATGTAGATAAAATCATTATATGTAAGTAAACTATTAAAAAATATTCTATGGATCGAAATTCATAGATTATATGATTAGATTTTATAATACATATTATTTCTAACATAAGAAGTTAAATTATATTGTTAGTTTTTCAAGACGGAAAATCATTATACAGTACCACCTAAGAAAACTGAAGGTGACAACGTGTACCAACTGTGAAAACGAGAGAGGTATCAATAATTTTCAATGCTTTAAATTTTCTATATATAATCTTACAAGAAACAGAAAGCTTGCAAACTTAGTTTCGTGTGTTCTAGTACAAAATTTGTAACCGTAATTAAAACAAAAATATATATAAAACAAAAACAAATTAGACAAAAAGTAATTTTAAATTAATTTTAAATTACACAAAAAATACATTAAACTCTACTTTTTATCACAGAAAATATTCTATTTTGGTTAATATTGTCGTTCTCTATAAATGTGAGTGAGAGTGAGAGTGAGAGTGAGAGTGAAAGTGAGAGTGAGTGAGTGAGTGAGAGTGAGAGTGGAGAGTGAGAGTGAGAGTGAGAGTGGAGAGTGAGAGTGAGAGTGAGAGTGAGTGAGTGAGTGAGAGTGAGTGAGTGAGTGAGAGTGAGTGAGTGAGTGAGTGAGTGAGTGAGTGAGTGAGTGAGTGAGTGAGTGAGTGAGTGAGTGAGTGAGTGAATTGCTTTATGTACCTTTAATTTTTCTCTTATTTTATATTTAATATATATTATGCAAATATATACATATATTTTTTTTTTGATAATTATTATATTATTTTCTTTTAATATTGGTAACATATAAATATTTTTATATAAATAGATATTAGATAAAAACTATGAATTATTGTGTACCGCTTGAATACATAGTTTTAATATCTTGTAAAATATTTTTTACTTAAAATAAATATTGGTAAACATTTGCTTATGAAGGGCAAGAGAGCAAATAATATCATCATGGGTACTAAAGCCGAACAGCTTAATTGGATCCGCAACGACATCGTGGAATTTAAGACTGCAAAAAAGTTGGACCAGGTGATCGTTCTATGGACCGCCAATACCGAAAGATTTTCTGAAATCATAACAGGCGTCAACGACACTGCCGACAACCTTCTGAAAGCAATCAAAGAGAATCACTTGGAAATTAGTCCTAGCACTATGTTTGCTGTAGCAGCTGCTCTTGAAGGAGTAAGATTAACTTCAAGATAATATTTTTTTTCTTTTTGTTTTCAATATTTTTCTCTCATATTACGTTAGCTAATATCACACTTAAACAATTCTTTTATTTGTGGAAAAATATGTTTGTAGTGTACTTACATCAACGGATCGCCACAAAACACTTTTGTCCCAGGCGCTCTTGAGCTAGCCGAGAGGCAGAAAACATTTGTCGGTGGTGACGACTTCAAGTCAGGACAGACAAAGCTCAAATCCGTACTCGTGGACTTTCTTGTATCAGCTGGCATTAAGCCGGTGTCGATCGTCAGTTATAATCATTTAGGAAACAACGATGGATATAATTTATCTGCACCGCAACAGTTTCGCTCAAAAGAGGTATACATTATCTAAAAAAAAGTTATCTCAAAAAATACATTATCAAGAAAAAAGTCAACACATCGCGAAAGCATCAGTTATAAAAAAGAATTATATACAATAGTTTTTCTTCTTATTTTTTTATTATATTTTATTTAATTCTATATATTGTGTATCTCATACTTTTATATGCAGATCTCTAAGAGCAATGTCGTGGACGATATGGTGGAATCTAACAAAATCCTCTATAAACCCGGAGAAAAACCGGATCATTGTGTTGTCATCAAATATGTTCCTTATGTTGGTAAGTCTTCATTTTGTATATTTTGTTTACGATAACTTATATTGTTATGTTATAACGATGTGTCTAAAACATGCAGTCTGACAATAATATGTTTAAAATTAAGATAGAAAGATCTTGTGTATTTTCTATGTACAGATCAGTATGTCAATAATATTTTATTGTTCTCTTTCTGTCTCTATAGAATATATTTTGCTTTCTAGGTGACAGCAAAAGAGCCATGGACGAATATATTTCTGAAATCATGTTGGGTGGTCACAACACTATTGTAATTCACAATACTTGTGAAGATTCGCTTCTGGCAACTCCCATCATACTCGATCTTGTAATCTTGGCAGAACTCTGCTCTCGTATTACTTTGAAAAAAGTGGATTCTAACGATGACGGAGAGTTTTTCGGCTTTCATAGCGTGCTGTCTATTCTTTCGTATCTCTGCAAGGCTCCTTTAGTACCTCACGGAACGCCAGTGGTAAACGCTCTCTTTCGACAACGGGCCGCCATTGAAAATATTTTACGAGCTTGTTTGTCTCTACCTCCAGAGAACAATATGTTACTTGAACACAAGATTACATTCAAAATTTAAAAAAAAATTCGGTGAAAGTGAGAGGGAAGATAAGTTAGATACAAGGAACAAAGAAAGGTTCTAAGTGATATTTAAGATTTTTTTAGTTTGTTTATTATCAAAGGAAGAAGAATTTCTATAAATTTTGTTTTTAGTTTACATTTCTTTTGGTGTCAAACACTCAATATAAAACATACTGTAAAATCTATCTTATCATTTTACTAAGCCGATTTAGACTGAAATACAAGAGAATACCAGAATTTGAAAAATTTGATTTTGGCTGGATTTCCGATATTATTTATATAATAGCGCAAAATTATAGTTTGTTTAAATATATAATACATATAGATTAATTATTAATACAGTTTTTTAATATTGTAACTAAGTTTTTTTATCAACATTTTTTACCACAAGGTTTTATATTTATTATTTAGAAAATTGCTAGTTGTTGATATTACTAACAATTATTGGTGTTTAACTTTATACAAGTGTGTGTATAAAGTGTACACACACACAAGATGTTCTATTTTAATCACCCCAGGCACCTATTTCGAAAAATATAACGTACGGAAAATTTTATTTCAAACAAAGTTAATGGATATCAAAGAAGATACATGCTATCATTTATATATTTGATCTTGGAATTATCTTAAAAAAATCTTTTTCTAAAGTTAGCTTTACATTTTTGAAGAAGAAGCCGTATTTCTATCTCATTCTTGCAGCTAACGTCGAAACGTTTTCAAAATATCTATTTGTGTCTTTTGCATAAATCATTCCCGAGATATGAAACTTCAAAGTTGACATATCACCAGCATTCGCATTACTTAATGTAAATTGGGAAAGTCGGATTTGTACATCATAATCTTCTTAAACTTGCGTGTGTGCATAGTATGTCAATTTCAATGTCTTTTATTGCGCTACAAAATATTTTTGAGTGTTACGCGGTTTGTGGGAAACATTAAATAATTTTTAAACATTTTCCCAGACCTAGTGGATTTACAATTTTTCAAATTTTTTTGTTTTATAAAGCTGAGAACCATTTTCTGGTATTCTAATGTTGTTTTCAACATAAACTAATTTCTAAAGATTCATTAGATCTAGAGAATTTTAATAATTTTTATTTTAGTATTATAAAGCGCTGCGGATCGGTTTTGCGGAGCGTTTTTTGACTAGAAAAAAAAAGCAAAAAAGTTTTATTAATTTTTTTATATCTGAAACATTGCTGCGTTTTTTTCTTGACAATGATTTTATTAGCCGTTCTTATAGTATTTTCTAAAAACTCTAATCGATAGCCATCAATCACATATCTAAATCTTCAATAATTTAATTATTTGTAATATCAAATATTTTTAAAACATTAAGTAAGCTGATTGTAAGAATCAATTAATTTCATTTTACTTAAAAAAAGTAAAGGACATTTGTCAGAACAAGCTCAGATTTGAATTTCAGATACTCTCAAAGCCACTGATCATTTTGTTCAAGATCATCCTAATGTGATTTATCAGAGCAGAGGGTAAATTCAGTAGTATATATAGTGCCTGATAGAAATAATTACACATACAAAATGAAGATCAAATCTTGTCAGATAAGGGTACTTATTTTTTAGAAAACAACTCTGTTAATATTACATATATAAAAAAAGAATTACTTAAAAGATAGAAGACTTGTGGCCACATTGCCGACAATAGATTCGGATTTTTAAACAAAGTTTTGGCTATTCTTTTTAAAACATGGTGTGCCGAAATTACACATAAACATAACCTTCTCAGAATTTATATCATCCGTTATAGTTCATTAAATACTTTAGCTTTATTCTTCCGTAAGATTATTTTTAAAAAAAGTTTAGCATCCACATTTAGTCATGTTTCTAATAGTTTTTACTTAATCAAAATTATATCTAATGTTGTGTCATCTTTAATGATTCTTTTGACCTCATTTTGTTAGATGGTGTTTTCTTTTTACAAGTGTACTGATAGATTTCGCATTAAACAATGTTGCCAACAAATACTTAAGTCAAAAAAACTGAGACCTCCAAAGAGGAATTTTTAACAACGCTTACATTCATTTTCAACCCTACATATTTTTTTTAATATCAAAGTTTACAGACAACTTTAGCATACTTATAGGCTCATCACTTTCTCCAGTCTTAGCTAACATCATACAAGATTTAGAGACTTTTCTTAGGATAGAATCGGTTTTAAACTATTGTTATACGTTAGATATGTTAATGACATAGCATTAATGACTTCTAAAGATCAGTTTGATGAAGTTTTCGAAACTTATATCATCTCTGATTACAACTCACCATAGAAATAGAGATTTTAACAATAACCTTTACTTTTTAAAGTTATAACTAAAAAGATTTAACTCTTTTTAAACCGCAATGTTGTTTTTATATGAATATAAAACCTCAATTAACTTAGTTAACAATGGCACAATTTTCTTTAACTTTCAGTACATATCTGTTTGTTATAATCTTTTTCCTCATATTTATGCATGTATTACCTTGCTATTTAATGTCTCTATTTTTACACACATATATATATATAAACTATAAAATAATGTGTAATGTGTAATAGATAATAGTAGTACATAATTGATTATTTAATAGTTATACACATAATATTAAATATACTTTTTTAACAAGAGTTACATGTTGTAGTATGTTTTTACCAAAAACGTTATGGTTCAATTTATTACACACATATATGTTATTTGTAACGTTAAATAAAACATGATAAATAGTTTTACATTTTGAGAAGAAAATAGAAAAAAAGAACAGTGACATTATCGACGTGATGCTGCTTTAAAGAGCTTTCTACAATAAGATAATAATAAATCAGAAGTCAGAAGCAAGAAATTGACTAATCACAATCGATTATTCTTCTGTGATTTGTCTGTGATTGGTCAACTTCTTGCTTCTGACTTCTGATTTATTACTAATATCTTATTGTAGAAGGCCCTTAAGGCCGAAGCACAGACTTTTGCATAATGCATAACGCATAAGACATAAGAGAATTAACCAATCAAAGCTTTCTAGAACAAAAAGTAGGGATAAAAATGAAAAGCTGGATTGGTTGATTTTCTTATGTCTTATGCGTTATGCAAAAGTCTGTGTTTCAGCCTTTATAGTCAAAAATATATAGACGTAGAATGTATAGACTGCGCATTCCCTACCTTTGCCGTGTTAAGAAAATGTCTTCAACGTTGAGAGAGACAGCTAGTGTTGAGCAGTAGCCTCATTTTTGTCTAGCGAAGTAGTGGGGGAAAAAGAAGTTTTCGCTGATTGATAGAATAGTAGTGGAAAAGTGGGGGTAGAAAAATAGTGGGAGTGAAGAGGAATGAAAGAGAAGGGGTGATGGCAGATTAGGCGGTATGAAACAGTAGGCTTCTTCTTCTTTGCATTTATGGTTCCGTGCCCCTTTAACTGTTTAGGCACCGGCCAGTCTTTGCTATGAAACAGTAGGCCTTAATCCCACCACAAACATTGATAAACAGAGAGAGAGTTACTGTTCAAAGTATGTTGTCTTAACCATGAAGACATCTTTTCAGCCAAACGCGCAGTCTATATATTCTACGTCTATGGTCAAAAATAATCTGGCGCTTGTTGGCGTTATCGCTAAAGCCTGTTCTACAATAAGCACAAGACGCAAACGCAAACAGATCTCGAATGGAATTGACTAATTGCATTGATTAAATCAGCCAATTGATCAATGTGATTGGTCAATTCCACGAAACCTGCTACTTGCGATTGCATCTTGCGCTTAATGTAGAATGGGCTTAAGAAAAACCATTTTTTTGTCCTTATATTCCTAAACTCTTGCACTTATTCCGTGAATTTTTGATTGCCACTATATATATCTATGATAACAATAGTTTTTTGGCGAGCTGCAATGGACCAGAGATTAAATTCGACGTACGAAGGCATCAATAATAATATTTTGTGCAATAATATTAGATGTACAAAGTAATTTGATGTTTTACAAACTTCGAAGTTTAGTCATAAAAACTTAAATAAAAGTTTAGTGTTCAAAATATTTTTATTATTTATTATTTTTTAAATTATTTTTATTATTATTTTATTTTTGAATAGTTTAGAAGTAGATTAGATTCGTGTGAAAACATTTGTGTGGAAATATTAGAGTAAAAAAATCTAAGATGAAGAAAATTGTTTTCAAATTTAGAATTACTTGGTAAAAACCGTTTTCTTTTCTCACCCAAACGACGAAGCAGAACAAATATTTTCAATAGCTACAAATGTCAAAATTAAAAAATATATAAATTCTTTAATAATACTCTTTCTGCAATTTGCATAGTTTGATCTAGTTTTCAGAAAGAAAATATTACTTGTATTACTTTCAAAGCAGACTGTACAGTTAAAATTGCAGAAAATTATGCAAAGCAATGTAATATGTCTGATAGCGTTTGAATTTTTCCGTAATTATTATTTTATTTTTATCTTTTACGTTTTAACTCACAGTACTCACACATATGTTTAGTCAATTTCTTTTTTATGCATGATTTATGTAACTGCGTTCGGAGAGCACGCTATCTGCGCTATTGTATCATTTTATCTTTATTTCTTATTAGATAGGAAACAAAGATAAAATGACGCAATAGCGCAGATAGCACGCTCTCCAAACGCAACCTACATGTCATAATTATATTTATGACATTATTATATTTATCTTTGTTTTTTTTTCAGAATTTATTTTTATTTTGTTTTTTTCAAACTCTTAGAATTATACTTATTGTTATACTCTCTCTCTCTCTCTATATATATATATATATATATATATATATATATATATATATATATATATAAGTTTAATTTTAATTTTATTTTCTAAAATTGAACAATAAATAGTATTAATATATTTTTACAAAATTTTTTTTTTTAATGTATTGATGTTTTTTTAAGTTTTATATGCAGCGAAATATCGGTTTAATTGTACAATATATATGTTTGTTGTAAGAATACTAGTTTTTGATAGTTTTTTTATTTTTATAACAATGTTGGTAATGTTTCAATTTTTACAAAATAAACGTTTTACTATATAAAAATGATTTTACATTGTTATGTTAACTTGGTTTCCTTTTGTATGTCACATATCTTATCTTACATTATAATCTTTCAAATCTGGTATTTAATGCTTTCGCGATATATTAAGAATAAGAATGTCTGAAGATGTAGTTTTCGAGTTTGAACTGAGTGTCATTTTCATCGACTGCTTTTGAAATTATGATGAGATGACTCAAAATGTCCACGAAACGTCGGGTATAAAAATGACATTAATCGATAATTCAGGCGATTCAAGCCTGAAAATTATCTTCAAGAATTTTAAGTTTACAAATATTTGAAAAATTTCTTGAAATTTTATGTAGGAAAACAAGAGTACTTTTTTCAAATGTAGTAAGCACGTTAATGAGCGCACACTAGACGTTATGTGTATGAAATTATCCGGCAAGTTTAGAAACACTGCGCTGAGTAACGTGTTTTAGTATTTTTTCTAAGATAATGCTGGCCTGTGATTGGTGTTTACGTACTTATATAAAGTTACAATTACAATATGTTCACATGCAGTAACCTTAATTCATAGTGGATACAAAAAAAGTATCTATATAAGCATATATAATATTGCTGGAAGAAAGAACATATATTACAAATATACTTCGAGAATAAACTCGATCTACAGACATAACGTCTATTAAATATCTAATGAATATCTTCATGTGATATCTAATAAACAGTAAACCGAGAGTGTAAAGTGTATAAAATGTTCTGTGTAGGAATGATATCTCAATATCGCGCGATAAAAACGTATACTTATTTACTATCAAAAACACAGACTTTTTTATACTTAATTTATCATGCATTCTTAATAAATAATATAATTTACAAAGTAAATTATTTTTTAATTATATTTTGATCTACGCGACAATGTCAAATGAATTTTTAAATATTTGTTTTAAAAAACCATCTCTTAGTAAGATCTCTAATATTTATATGTATATTATATTAATTGTGTAATATACATAATATTATATTAATTGTGTAATATACATGTAAACTTAAAAAAAAGCGTATTCACAACCTTTGTATTAAGTACACATACATGTTTGTTCAATTGTAAACAGTAGCTGTAAAACACACATAGTAACGCACGGAAGAGTATAAAGTCCCTTTTGACTTGCATGCAATGACACAATTTAACATCTAAGCACTATAATAATAGTTTCACGTAACAATTCAGTTGTTTCTTTTTGTGAAACTATGTATATAACGTTCAGAATTCTACTGAGGAAAACTACGAATTTACTATGGATAAAATAATTATCCAAACAATATTGAATTAATTGAACCTCAATGCGTAACAACAAAAGCACGTTTTCATAATGATGTATATTTTAAATGTTTCGTTGCATCGAATTTCACGTTTAAAGATATAAATTTTTTCTATTTTGAGTGTATCATCAGCAAATAGATTATTTTGTAATCATACATGTATACACACGCGCGCGCGCGTGTATATGTATATATAAGTATCGATAATAATCTATTTGCACGTATATTCTTCGGTACGTTCTGTACAGGTTTCACAATGCACGCGACAACACCAATGAAACTTGCATTTACATTGCCATGTTTTCATGAACTGATGCGTGTTGTAGCCACGACCGCAACACATTAAATCACATCCGTCGGTTCCTGAAAATACAGAAAACTAATGAGCGAGAAAAGAGGCATTCTATTGAAGATTCATTTCTGCTTATTTTACCTTTACTCGTACGATTGCAATATCTGCCTTGTGTGCCGAGACTGCCTTGTGACAAATTTGGTTCGCAGTAATTGGGAGAAGACTGTAGAAAAACTAACTCGCTTCTCTTTGGAATCCTCTTTGGACTTATACCATCGTTAACTTTCGTCTTCTTTAAGACCAAGTGTGTTTTTCTCGGTCTGTTGATCTTTTTCCACGAAAGCTGTCGATCGTAATGTGATTTCATATCGTTCGGTTTACCCTGAGTTTTGGCATCGTTGCCTAATATAGGCTCCAATTCTGCTGATATAGGATGTAACGGAATGTCCGGTATCTGTAAATTATAATCATGTGTGTGTGTGTGTGTGTGTGTGTGTGTGTGTAAACTATGAAAATATTAAAATTTTCAGAATCAAGAACTTTGTTTTAACAGGAAAAGCAAAACAAGTGTCCTGAATAACCAATTAGAATCTTTTGAAATTTGTTCTTGAACACAAAAATCTCAGAGATTGAATATTTTTTTATATAGTATTTATTTTGACGACTAAACCGAACTTTTTAAAGACTAAAACGAAGCTAATTGAGAAAATTTGAAAATTAAAGATAACAAGACTCACGTTGATCGCTTCGAAAGAAAATGTTGCTTCTAGATTGCGTTAGGTTAAATTGAGGATTTTTATTTTAAATATCATAAAATGATATCGAAAATTACAATTTGTTTGGATTTGCTCAATGTATGAATTTGATAAAAAAAATATTAATTGACATTTACCTGACCTTATGACCTCCACCCAAGGTCAAATCATGGACACCATTTTACATCCCCCTCGAAACCCAACAACTCTGAAACATTTTTTCATACAGAGCATATTTTTTGATATTATTCCGATATTGATTACGCATGCCTCATCGTGTATATGTATATGCTTTTAGGGAATATTACAAGAGCTCGAGGGGGACACATCTCATATCGCGTGCAGAGTGTTTAATATTTGAACGAATATTTACTCAGTCAGGTAAATGCTTTGAATTAACTGTTGATTTACTCAAGACATATTTGTTAGTAGAGTATAATGTACCTGAGCTGTTGGTGGTGAAGGCGGTGTGACTGCTGTAACAGGTCGAGCCTTGTCATATTTTTTCTTTAATGCGTCGCCGATCTGACGAAAGCTGGGTAAAGTTCGCCAACATGTTCTTACGGTACACGATCCAGATACTCCGTGACATTTACATTCTGTCTGCAATAGGGCCTTAACTATCTAGATAAAAAAGAACGCGTTTGTATTAACGATTATAATATAAAAAAAGATAGAATAGGCTGATTGTGGCTCTCGGAGCGACAAATAAAAACGATTTTTTTTGCAGTTTTTGAACTGCTGACTCTGATTCTAATCTTTAAAATTTTTAATTTGTTGATTAAGTATTAAAATATCAGCACATGAAACTATATTTGACATATAAGATATGAAGTTTTTAAACATATAAGAAGCTATTATAAAAATGTGTTAATGGAAGTGTAAAACTATAGTGAATAACATTACAGTACACTTACAGTTTCCAATAATAAAATACTATTAAGTAAAATACTACAGTAGTAAAATAATTTCAATGAACAAAAATTTATACATTATACACATAAGAATATATGTGAAAAAAGCAAAACATTGAAAAAACACACAATGGAACAATTACTCTTGCTTAGAATAACTCTGACTTACATCAGCAACATTATTCTGAAAGATTTCTAATAAATGTTAAGCATTTAAATAAATTTTAGATAAAAGTCAACCATAAACCTAACAAAATAGCAAAATTGTCATAGCAACGTGGAAGCAACATCTAATCCAGCGACCCTGTATTTTTTTTAAAAAGTGCATTACTACAAAAAACATTGTTTTAAGGTTTTTTTTTAATTAAAAACATACGTATAATAATAAGCATATGTATAATTTAAAGGCAAACGTATAATATTTTGTAGATTATGAATGTGAAAACGTATCCATGCTTTGAGGAAGAGACATACTTCTTTATCTAAATCAATATTAATTTGCGTAATAAACAACACTGCTTTCAGATGCTATAGTCAAGATTTAAAATAGTTTTGATAATGCCTATTTTTATAATAATTTTTTAATTTTTTTATTAAACAAAACATGAATTATTAAAGAACTATTAGAGATGAGAGTATTTTTGTTTTACTAGCAACAAAACGCAAATTAATACGTTCGTAAAGCTCAACAATAAGAATTTTTGGAACTAGATATTTAATAGCTTTATATGCTGATTTTAACATTTTTTTGAACAAATTAAAAATTTTTAAAGGTCGGAATCAAATTCATTAGCTCAAAAATTACAGAAAAAAACATCGTTCTTTTTTGTTTAAAAATTTTACAATAATTTGACTGTATGATGATAAAACCGTGAAAGAAACTGCTCCATTATAAAAGTTAAGTTTGCTTACTTTTCTTCCAGCTCTGTTGTTGTGAAGATTCATCAAGCTCCGAGCGTCTCCTTCAAATTCTCTTGCGTCCAAAAACTTACGCGCAAACCTACATTTTATTGTAGCATTAACGTTTAATAAATAAAGTTTTTGCATTAATTTATCTTTTGCAATTTTGTCATACTTTCACTTGACTCTTTTACTGAACAAATACGAACACTTTCAATAATTTGTTTTTGCGAGAGGAGGAGAAGTTTCTCCTATAATGCAATGGTTATAACAGGTAGCTGCTGATCAGCAGCGGCTTCTTTCTCTCTCGCGAAACGAATTATTGAAAGTTACCTCATTCCGTATGTGATGTCCGCGCTGCATCCTCCCCATTCCCAACCGTTTGGTGGCAATTCCTTTTTTGTCCTATTCACAAAAGTGAGATAATTCAATTTGATAATATATAGTTTATGTTGATACATTTGGTGTAATATAATTTACATTTAGTTACCTTACAGCAGGTTCACAACCGCAGGCCGTAATATTACCGCGACTGCAAGCTGCGGTTACCGCGTATGTGACACCGGCGGAACTTATCGCATATGTAAAAGCTGCTTCCCTACTACCTGTTGACACAAGTAGATATTGTCTTTTTAACACAAAAATGTCAAATATTTTTAACACAAAAATGTTAAGTAGTGTTTCATCTGTTATATTGTTCAAAAGTGTTGTGTATATTTCTTATATAAGATGATAACGTGTGAAACAAAACGAAAAATTTGGAAAGAAATATTTCTTACAAAATACATACACTTGTATTGTGTAAATTTAGTGCAACTAGTTACTTAGTCGTATTATGCTTAAAGCATTAGCGTAATTATTTCCTTGTATCCCATTCTTCGATCATTTGCCATATTGAATGAATTATCGTACATCCATTTTCCTGTGATGTCCAGTTTTTATTCCGTCATCATTGCTGACATATACGAGCGGTTCTCTGTCTCGATTCTGTTTGACTCAGCCAGCGATTCATTCTATCGGCGTCAAAACTTTGTCTTTGCTTTAGGTTGTGTCTTTGGTTTAGGTTGTGCGATCATGACAGGCAATGATATATTAATTTATTAACTGATTTATTTAGATGAGACCTTATATCCACAGAGAGGAAGAAAGCCGCTGGAGATTCGAGGAAGCGTTTTGGCGCACACAGGCTTATTACTCAATTCATGCCGGGATTCGCAACGTTGGCTCTTTTCTACAAAGTACGTTAAATTATATTAATTCCATTTATCTTCCACGTAAAAAAATGTCATTTTTATTATTGCTTTCCTCAAATGAATTAATAATAAAAAAAAAGACATTAATATTTATAGTTAAATTATAATAAAAATACGTCTCATCGCTTCTTATATGGTATATAAAGATTCTATCCAACAATGATCAATGATTATCGCGATATTTACGGATATACAAGTGATATCGCAATGTGAATTATGGTAAACACACGTGTAACTTTCAAATTTGCTCGAAATATGCGGTCACGAGAGAATATACTCGAGCGTATATTCAAGCAACGTTTATTTCTTGCATCTACGATAATTATGTCTAAATAGAGCTTAGTTCGTAATTTAACTTTGAATAAATATCAGTTCTGCGAATACCGGATACATGCCAAGGGATATCACACACGGCAATAATAATTTTCTGTATTTATCATAAATTCTAGAAAATTTCTCTCTTCTCAACAGCATTTCTACGCACGCACGCACGCACGCACGCACGCACGCACGCACGCACGCACGCGCGCGCACGCGTGAACAGATTATTTAGTTTATTTAGGTTTCACAAGACAGCACTTATGTGAGATTTCATGAATGTACTGCTGCTGTTTGCGTATTAATGTACCTCAGAGATAAAATACAGAGATGAAAAATGACAAAGATAAATTAATTTGTGTTGTCGTATTTGACAAATATGTACATAAATTGTGTATTTCGATGTATAGCTTTACTTTACTATGATTACAGAAGTCAATTAAGGTGCTACAACGGTTTTAATTTCATCTTTATGTTCTTGAAAAACCAAGTGCAACAAGTTACGAGAAGTGATTAATAAGTATCCGAAACAAAAAAATAAATAAATTTATCGGATTAAAATGTATTATATTTCTTTTTTTAATATAATACATTTAACAGTTGACTTTTACTTTTCAATACACTTTGATCAATATTCTTTAAAAGCATTTACATAAAGGTGACCATATTTTCCCTTATCATAAGGATAGCAAGGTACATTGTTTTATTTTTAAGCTGGTTTTCTAATTTAGTTTCAACAATAGGTACATTACGTTCGGCTTCTCAGATGATTTTCTACGAAGTCATAATCATGTTGGTCTTGGAAAAAAAAGTACTTTTTCAGCTAATTGACAAACTTATTATTGAAATATAGTGAAATTATTTTCAAGTGTTTTAGTTTCTTTATAAGGTTTCTGCTGAGCTTTTTTATTAGAGGTAGCAATTTTGGAAAATTCCATTTTTTAAAAAAGCAAAAAATGCAAAAAACAAAAGAAAAAGATAAAAGAAAGAGAAAAGTACTCAATATGAGCACTCAGAGAAACTAGAACTATTATATTTCTACATGCTCTATTGAAAGTTTTGGATTAAAAAAGAAATTGACATTTAAACTTATAGTGCATATATCTATATATGGTGTCAATTATTTCAACTGTTGTGATTTCTTGTCTTTCCATTTTTTTGACTGCTTCATGATATGTGATTCCGTCTAGTTAATTTGATCTTCAAGACGCAGCCTGACAATGCTGTATATGTGAACATAGCATTAATATCAATGAAAATATTATCAACTTATTTCTTAACTTTCGAACATTTTCTCTTATTACGAGAAAATGTTCGAAAGTTCCAAACGTATCGGAACAAATTGACCAAAATTGGAACAAATCGGAACCGGGAAAATAATCGGGACAAAAAGTCAAAAATCGAAACTGTCCCGATAAAATTTAGTACAGATGATCACCTTAATTTATACCATTTTGATAAAAATAATTCGCAAATTCTTCAAAACAATCTTTTACGATTTCATTATTGCTTGAAAATTTCTCACAAATTTCAAATTCAGAAATAAATGAAAATTGCACGAAGACATATTTGGCGAATAAAGCGGATGAGACAGCAATTCGAAGACCAATTCGTAAATTTTGATTATTGTACTGTTAAAAATCATTGAGTGCATCTGCTTTGACGAGTCTAATATTTCACAAACACTATGTGCGATAATGAACCAGCGTTTGATACTTGGTAAGTTCTGAAGAATGAAACTTGTCAACGACAACAATTATATAATATGACACTACTGTTGCATCGATTTGGATACTCATTAATCACCTCTTGTATTTTAATTTATTTTGAAATCTCTTTTCTTTTGATTGCATTGTTAGACTGTATGTATATCTATATATGTGTCGAAACTGCCGTGTGCGCCAATTCGCACGGTTGTCCCAAGCTCGCGCGATATAGTTCAATATATGATGCGAAACGAGAGAATGAATACATCGGCTGTATACTAGAGGAGAACCACAAGCAGGCGAACAAACACACAGGCAAACAGACAGGCAAACAAGCATGCAGGTAAAAGCAGGTAGACGCAGGTAGGTAGGTGTGTCCATGCGAGAACACCAAGTGTGGGCCAGTCCAGTTATTTGAGACGGATAAGAGGTCGAGAAGATGAAAAAAGTGTGCGAGCGTGAGTGCAGAGAGCGAATATAAATGCACAAAAGATAAAGGAAAAGAAAGTGCAAAAAGAAGAACGTTTTATCAGGTGCAGCAGAAATTGATAAAAAGCTGCATTAACACAGCGTCCTCGCTAATGTTATCCAAAAAGAAATAGAAGAGGATATACATTTGGTGTTACATGCAAATACCGAATCTTTGTATTTTCTTTGTCTTCTGGATTCTCGCACTTTTTCTTATCACTCGCGTTATAGTTATACGATTTAGATTATTTTGTTATACGGAATAAAATAAACTTGTTACCGATGTAAAACACACACGAGTGAAATTATCTGTTGATAAATATGACAATTTGACGAGATAAAATATAGGCGATATATTTTCTGGAGAACTCAACAGAAAGGAGAATCAGAAATGTTTTTTGTTCTTTTAATTTGCAACAACTTTTGTTTAGTTCATCGGTTACTTAATCAACTTGAATCTTTATAATTCTAAGTTTTATCCAAATAATGGCGATCTCATAAAAATCTCATAAAAATCTTGCACGTTTTATCCGGGAAAGGGGGGAAGAGATAAGGGGAAAAGTCCGCCTAATTTATATTAAAATATATTCACTATGATTCGTCTGAGCAGACTATAACATCTCAAATGAGATTTAATGTCAATGCTTTTTCTGAAATGATTTTCAATCCGGATGGTCGTATATTTAATTATACACGGAAAAAAAAAGTTTTGCTATTATATGGTCAGCAAGAAAAATGGTTGACCCTACGAAATATTTTGTTACATCAACAAAATGTTTTGTTGGCAAAACAAAAATTTTACTAAACTTAACAAATGTTTTTTACTGGCCATATAGTAACTAATTTCTTGCTATTCTAGCAAATCTTTTTTTTTCCGTGTATACAATTACAATCGTATATTATATCGCTTACGCTTATAGCACACATGATGTGCGATTGTACGAATCGGCAATAATGATGTCTTCTCAAGAAGAACACAGCGTACGTATGTACGCAAATTTAAACTGCGCGGCCTAAGACAACTATATATTTCTCTTTATAATTTCTCTAGATAAATCTGAGTTGTTCCTAAGTGTCATACTCTCTTGTGTACGATGCTACCAAAAATTTATTCTATTCATTTATTGCGGGATTTACCTCTAACAAGACATTCATACGAATCTTAGACACGATTCGAGACGAGCCTTCTTTCATTTTTATGTCAGATCGCGCACTTACTCCTTACATCATTTGGTTCGATTTTAAAGAGTATATTATTAGCATTTCTTTCAATTTAAAACTATCTTTTAAACTTGTAAACTCACAAATTATACAAAGTGTGCATAATCCGAGCGCTTTAAGAACAGGAAAACATATTATATTGCCTCACTTAGCTTCGGTATGTTGAGCGGATCCGTTAATTTTACTAATTAAGTTAGCGACCGACCACCTGCAACCTTTTCTCTTACAATTCTCTTATTTATATTTTTTTGTACATCGAGTAGTTTTGCTCTTCTTATTTCTTGCTTAACTTCCTCGATGTCGTTGCTATTTTTGCAACGTTCTTCGTTTCGCGATAGATGTAAATGTATCTGCTCTTTTTTATTTATAATGAGATAAAGTGACATAATGTAAGGAATAATTTACGACAATGTCATTTACATGATACAAAAAATATATATATAAGTACATACACAATAACACCTAAAATGTATTACACGTGTAGGTCTAAATAAAATATAGATATTACAGTGTGATAAATATTAAATGCGATGACAGAGGATGACAATACTTACCTACCACTACCACATGGCCGAAGACCTGATCGTTGGAAAGTTGAACCTGAACGTGGGAACAATTCCAGCGGTGATGCCTGAATTGATGACGGCACTCGCGTAAACCCAGCGCGGCGCCTTCGCCCACTGCCGGCATAGTGTATGGTGCTTTCCTGCACAACTCACGCTGACTTCGTGTCAAACCAGAGATACGACTGCAAACAGCTGCACCGACAACCATCGCTCCAACCAGCCTAAAATAAAGATATTTATCGTTACAACTAGCGGTGAAGTAATTAAAGATCTTATGTTTTGCTTAAATCGTATTGTCAACGCGTATACAATGAATACAAAAGTAACATATAACACAACGAAGAACAAAATAGTTTTATTCTACCAAAATATATAAAAACGTGTAATTTTTTAAAAAAGAATTTACATTAAATTCAAAATATTAATTAAGTTTTATTAAACTCTTTAAGTTTGGCGAGCACTTTCTTTTCTTTCGTGTAATGGAATCGATGTGAGCAATTGTGTCGTTGATGTCATGCAAAGTCTTGTCGGGCGCTGGAGAGAAGTATCAAGAAAGGAAATGAGATCAACTGTTGCGATTGCATGGGGCGAGCAAAGATTGCAACCTTGCACGTATGGGACACTACAGTGGTCTAAAATTATCATTCATGAGAGAAAAAAACCATAATGAAAAGGAGAGAGAGAGAAAGAAAAAGAGGCGCCCACTTGCAAGCTTTCCGTTCAACAACAGGAACTTTCCATGGAGTTGCAATAAATGTTTGAGTGGAGAAGCTGCAGTCAGGCCTTTAGTTAATCAGCGACTCAATATGTGAAGATCTTTCAAAAGACGCATTGATATTCAATCAAAGGAAAAGAAAAATCGTAAACGCTCGAAAATCACTTTAAAAAAGTTTCCGCAAAACGCGCAATCCTAACTGCTATTGGCTAATTGAATTTATAGTCAATAAGCGCGTCCGAAATTTGTTATTTTTTCAAATGATAAGAATAAAAAACATTGAAATGCTATAAATACTTAAAGATAAGGTAGCGATCTAAACAAAAAGAAGGAAACATATTGAGCCACAAGTATAAAAAAAAATGATCTGATGATAGAATGGGATAGAGTTGAATTTCTGAGAAACAAAATTGCGATGATTACGCTGCATCTTCGGAGCCGGAGTTATTTGCATTGGAATGCATCGCACTGCTTTTGCAGTGGCTGCCAAATCCTTTCCTGTTCCACGTAATACGGCATATCTTACAAAGTATTTCAATGATAAACAGAAGAAAAAGTTGTGTATGATATGTAGTGAAAAAAAGAATATAGATATTAAACAATATAACAATTTTTATATCTCTAAGATGCTTGTTCTTTTATATTTACCGATCGCTTATAATTATTGTAAGTATGTATGAAGTATATTAAATATGTATTGAGCATATATATTGAATCATATTATATACATATATACATTATATATATACATTTTTTCAAGTTTTATACTTAATGATTCTATACACACACATACATATATATATATTATATTACATTAAAAGCGTAAACTTTAGTAAATGTAATAAATGTACTTACTAGTAATGTATAACAATTTTAGCAAAAATATTAACTTGAAAGTGCTACTATTTCTAGTAACTGTATTCATTTACTAGACAATCCATACATATGCCACAACACATCAATAAAAGCATAATATCACAAAGTAAATACTTGAATAAGTGATATTTGGAAAGTAATACATGCTTAAGTATAGGAGCGCACAAGAAACCTCTGCTCATTTCTTTGTGCTTTCCAATAAACAAAAAAACTTGAAAAGTATCAAGACAGCCAAAAATACTGCGTAGGAGTTCTAGTGCATTTTTATGGTTTATAATTTATGTGATGTGTACGTGCTAACAGAAATATTTATTTAAATTAATACAGTTTTGTTTATTTATACTTTTACTAAATCAGCTGTAAAGATGTATGCATCTGTTAATAAAAGTTTAAATTTAATTGCATGTAGATACATTTATTTTTGTCAAATTAGTAAGTGTATATATTATTAGTAAGTATATTTATTTACCAACTTAATACATTACTGTAACATACTATAATATGTATATAAGCGCGCGCACACACATAGAATTTAAGATAATACTTAGCCGACAGAAAATTACTCAGTCACAGTCATAAGTTTTCAGCATTGTGAATTTCTCTCTCTCTCTCTCTATCTCTATCTGATATTTACTTTTGTACTAAGAATAAGAATGAGTGTATCAAAACTCTTGACAAAATATAGTCATCGTAACTGTAGCAAAAGCAGTTTCAATTTAATCACAGAAAGTACATTGAGAGAGAGAGAGAGAAAATTAACGTTAAATATAATATGATTTTAATGTAATTATATTGTATTAACAGGCAGCTACTGGTTTAAGACAGAAGATATAAATCTATCCTTGCACAGATATCTCTTCAGTATTTGTGATTAGCTATGGCGTTAGTTATTACGAATGTTTGAATAAAACTTGCCTTAGATAATCGCTGAAACTTCTAAAAAAAAGTTCGAAAGAGTGGTTACGCGGTAAACTTGTATCTCATCAAAGTATATAAGAAAATGTCTCGAAAAGATTTGACACTGGATAAACGTTTACATCGTAGACCTTTTCGAACCTAGCGGTGAATATCTTCAAGTTCTGACATTGATGGACAGACAAACAAAGCAACAGATCGTTCTGATCACAAAATTAAACTAATTTTGACAAAACGATAATCCGCGATACAGCACAATGTGATAAAACACATTATGCACCTAAAAGTATGTTTCAATCAAGTTAATAAACTTCACAGAAAAAAAGTTATCTATGTCGAAACCTCTTACAAACTAGTTATTGAATTAATTAAAAATTTGAAAACAAAGCTGTTTTTGAGACATTTAACCAATTTTTTAAAACTATATCTAAAGGAAAGCTCTACATAAAATTAGAAAAAAATTGAAGTATATTTTTTCAAAAGTTTTGCCTTTGATTCTTCAGTCACTTTGATCTGTCAATGTTAAATTTATTTATTTATTTTTTAAAAGTCAGTAAAGAAAGACAACTAAAAAAATATGTATATACACAGAAAAAAAATGGAATTGCTTCAATTAAAGTTGACGTCACGGGCTGCCACAAAAATAAATAGTTCATTCAATTGCATATGCGATTAATTTAATGTCTAGATTCTTAAAGCAACTATCTGCTGTGTATAGTGCAATAATATTGATGTTGCATCAACAGAATATATTTCAATTAAACTGATACTGTTGATTCAACATCATTTTTTTTTCCGTGTACATATATGAAAATTAAAAAAATATATATATGTATTTTTTTCCATATATATATATACATATATATGAACTCTATGCACGATATTTTATCTAAATGATAGAGAAACCTTTCAGTATAATAGTCTCGTTTTTCAACCTAAACTAATGTTTGATGTGGTAAGGAAACATTTTACTGTGCGATGCGTGAGAAACAAGAAAAACTCGTGAAACTTTGATGTGTTTGTGCTTTTGGTTGCTGAAAAACTTTCTCATGTTATGACTTCGGAGTTATTGCTGATCACGAAAAAGAATCCGTGGAGATTTCACTGATTCTAAAGAGAGAAAAAGACTAGCGTTTATACTTAGCCAAGACTAATTAAAAAGATCCATCGGCAGACTCGAAGGGTGTAAGATAAGATCGGCGTTAGGAGATGCTGCGCCACAGTAAGAAACGTTGTCGTCGGCGATATACAGCGACCTATCTTGGGGTGAGAAAGTTTTGCGGTATTTCACATAAATTCTATTTTATCTTATTTGTTTCGCGGGTCGATACGACGTATCGATAAAATGCCACGTATGTTACAATTGATTGTCATCTACAACGTGATAAGAGAAGAAAAACATAACTTTTAAACTTTAAAACTTGATCGATTAAATGGTAAATTTTTCTACTGTATATGTACATTTTTTTCTGCTTAAGTGGACATAAAATAATAAATACTTGAAAAAAGTTCTTTTATTTAGAAAATATGATAAAAAGACAAACATGAAATAAAAGAAATATAAGAGTTACTCGATCAAAGGGTAATTTTGTGATATTATCTAGACGTGAACATATCAGTTTTGTAGTCCCATCGTGGAACGGTCTTCGTGGATTCCCACGCACGCATGCAGTAAAGAAAGAGAAAGAGGGCTTGTTCAGTTTTGAAATTTTGAGGCCAGCCTGGTTAAAAATTAACACAGGAATTATGCTAATTTCCTCAGTGCCTTCACATCGGGACATTCGTCATTCGTCGCGGTTTTCTGATTACTCTTTGCGGTATGCGCGCAGTTTATACGACCGCACAGCGCGTACATATGTGAACCAGAAACAGAGACAAATTTAAAAGTCTAATTTTTTTTATGAGATTTTTGCCTTGCGTAAAGTTGTCTCATTCATTTTGTTGAGTCCATGCTTTCACTCTTAGCTATGCTGTATACGTATGCGGAATTCTTTTTTTTACTCTTTGTTGTTTTGTATCTAGAAATATATTTGCGCTACAATATAAATTCTTATTCGGGTAATTATTAGAGTACTTGAGCAAAATTGATGTACATCTTAAGATAGTAGATATGAGTAAATATGCAAATTAGTATCCTTTTCTTAAATAATTTGCTTTTATCGGAAAATCGATGCAGCCAAGAACAGCAAAAAGATTTACTCCTACATACTACGCAGCAGATAATACTATAAGCAGGCGGAGTCTTCGTGAGCAATCGCCGGAAATTCATAACTTAGCATCAGGCCAACGAAAGAGGGTTAATCGGTAAAAATACGAGACAAGTTTTGTCGTGGCAGAGGCATCAAAGAATGAGCGTTAGCTGTGTACTTTTGCATGGATTAGCGTGGAGAAGATTACTAAAGCATAGGACTGTAAATTCGCGTAGAAAATGCGTGCAACGTAAACTAGCTACCGATAGTGCTGTGTGTACGATAATGTGTGAGAACTATATCGCGCGCGCGTATGTGTGTGTGTGTGTGTGTGTGAAACCGATGAATCTGACCTATAAAATGTTTTCGGATAATTTTCTCTCTCTTTTTCTTTCTGACATATTCGACCGGAGTTATAAATCACCAAGTAATTTTTAACATTTTTTTTTGTGGATAAGAAGATTGATGAATAGTTCATTACCCTCAAAAAAGTGAAAAATATACATAAATAAATAAAACCTCGAGA